GCAAGCATTCATCACAAGACATAATGCATTAAGTTCCTCAGGATGTAGAACATTAGAACATTTGATTTTCTCGTGCCCTACATTTGATGGCCCTAGATTATGCTTAGAGAATGATTTGAAAATGTTCGGAGTGACTTGGCCAGTGAACTTATCTGTTTTCATGAAATCCAGACTGCTGTTCTCTGCTTTTGTTCGCTTTATTTATGCATGTAATTTTTAAAGTTTATTTATACATGTAACCTTTAATGTTCTAGTTAACTTACTTCTGTGAGCCCCGTGTTGTACATATGTGGTGCACGGGGAGTCTGTATGTTCTCAAAGGGGAAAAAAAAAAAATTTAATTTTCTCACTAAACTATTTTTTTTAAATTATTGTTCTACTATTATAATTCATAGTTGATCTTCAAATAATAATAATAATAATAATAATAATAACACATTTCATTCTTTAACAGCTTAACATAGTGTTTCCCAAACCTCTTAGCCTCCCAACCCATATGCATACTGTTGTATTTTATTGCAACCTACATGTAAATTTTGCAGACAGATGAAAAATATTCCTATAGAAAATAATATAATAAGGAAATAATAATAAATAAACATGTACAGATATTACTATGTATTACCAGAGATAAGACTCATAATATTTATGTTGAGTCATAAAAAGTGCACCCAGATATTTAAAAAAAATTTAAACTGAACTTTGTATAAACTAAAACCATTACAAAATAAAACAAATTATTCCCCAATGCATTTAAAATTCTGCAAAATCCTCACAGGCAAATAACTCTTCACTTTCATTGTTGAGATGCTCTTCATAAGGATCCCATTCTGTAAGTCGATTAAATAACTCGATTTCTGCTTTGTCATTTGTATCTCACAGTAAATCGTGCCCAGTGCTATCCATTGCATTGGAAATCCCACATTTGTTTTTGAAAGATTTGATCACTAGTTCCATTTTTAATTTTTCCCATTATTTGCTCATAAAATCACAGAGCACATTAGGTAACAGAGCTCACATAGTTCCAACTTTCATTAATGACTTTTCCCCCCTCATCATCCAGTTATTCCATTGTTTACGCATGTGATCCTTGAATGGTTTATTTAGAGAGATGTCTAAAAGCTGTAGCATCTAAGTTAAACCCCTCAGTATAACATCAATCTTAGTATTGTTCCATGCTAAGCAATTTTTAATATTCAGCTATGTGACTACAAAACATATCTCACACCAACAAATTGTGTTGATTTCACAGAGGACTTAACACCTTTGCCCCACATTTTCCATCCACAATTCACACACACCATTCTCATCCATCCATCCACCACTTTTCATGAAAATGTATAAAAATTTCTGTGGAAGTTTTCATCTTGAAAATGACCATGGGATTTAATTTTGTTTCATCTGCCATGCATGTTAATACTACTGTAAACCTGTTATTTTCATGGCTTTTCTGACTTGAACAGTTTTTGCACCTTCTGTTTCCACATTTCTGTTGTTTATCCAGCTGAAGTTCATTGGCAGTTTATCCATATTTCCCATATTAGATACAGGAAAGTTGTATTTTTGCTCAAACTAATAATAAACCTATGAAACTCATGACTTTATAGTCAAGATCTTGTGACAATTTCTGGAAAATCTTTGTCTTCTGTCCATATTACCAGATTTTTCTATTCGTGAAAAAACTGCACCAAACTACTATTGCTTTATGTTCTTTGCCTTATTCTGGATTGGCCCATACCCACTTCAATGCATAAACCCTAACTATGTTTCTTGTAACAACATAACAATTTTGCCTCTGCTCTCGTACCAATTCTACAATGTTATTTTCTAAATCTGGCCAGTAAGCTTTTCCTCTCGTTTTAAGAACATTTTTTCATTGTCCTTTTTTTAATAACATCTTCATTATTTCGCCTAACTCTTCCTCTCTTCTGTTATACTGAAAGGTCTTGCTGCAGCACAGTTGTTCTCTTTAGCTTGTTTAATGACTTTAAACTTGATTCATATTTCTGTTTTTTGTTGGTTTAATGACTGGGCTGACACTTTAATTTGACACTGATTAATCTTCTATAGGCAATTCTGCCAGATGCAAGAAAATAAACTTGTTCAAGGTAAACGTGAGTTCATAATTTAGCACATGCTTCGAGGCAGTGCTGGCTCACCACTGGGCAATCGGTAAAAGCCACTGAACACTGGTAGTTTGGTCCAGGGTTTGAGTCTGAGTAAATGTAAATGGGTGCTTTCTTGCCTTTCCACACTTATGAGTCAGTTTCTCTCACAAAGTCCGCTTAGAGACATCCCTCCCTTTCTGTGTAATGCCAAATGGCACAGCACATAATTCATAAAATAAATATCAAAGGCAGCAGTGCAAGATGCAAGAAAATAAAATTTGTTCCAGATGATTATTGCTGAGCTAAACTAAAGTCATAGACAACTGATAATTTGGGATTGTCTTACAGAACAGATATATGCTCAAAATATAAACCTTTAATGAAATCTTATACCTTGTCTTATCTGAAGATCATCATATATGGTGATAAGTAACAGTAATTTTAAATCAATCTGTTAATTATAGCTAAAAATATGCAATTATTCAACTAAGAAATGGACAAGCATTTCAAAACCCAGCAACAATAATCTCCTTATCTCATGTTTGATTGTGATCTTCAATTTGGGAACCAATGGCTAAATAGTTTTACGAGGCGTATTCGGAAACTAAGTAACCGTTTTGAAAAAAAAAAAAAAAAAAAAGTAAAACAATTTTTTCGAATCCAATTTTATTTTTACATGAAAATACATGTCTTAAACTATTTTTCAACATAGTTTCCGCCAATGATCAAACACTTGTCATAGCGGGTGACCAGTTTTTGTATACCATCATCAAAGAAACTTCCCGCCAGTTTCGATAACCATAACTTCACAGCATTTTTCGTGTCATCGTCAGATCAAAGCGCTTGCCACCAAGCTCGTGCTTCATGTGCAGGAACAAGTGATAGTCGGATAGCGCCAAGTCCAGGCTGTACAGCGGGTGATCGAACTGCTTCCAATGAAACTGTCGAATTAACGATTGAGTGACACCAGCAGTATGGGGCCGAGCATTGTCATGGAGCAACACAATTCCTTTACTGAGCATTCCTCTTCATTTGTTTTGAATGGCACACCTTAGTTTTGTTAAAGTCTCACAATATCGTGCCGCATTAATGGTTTCACCTCTGGGAAGAAATTCAGTAAGCAAAATGCCTTTCCTATCCCAGAAGACAGTGCACATGATTTTTTGTGATGACATTGTCACTTTGAACTTTGCTTTTTCGGAGAATGAGTGTGTCTCCACTCCATCGATTGTTGTTTTGATTCTGGTGTGAAATGACACACCCAAGTTTCATCATCATGTCAAAATTTGGTTTAAAAAGTTTTCTCACTCATCACTGTACCGTGTGAGAAATGTCAGGGCACTACCAAGTCGCTTTGTTTTGTGAACATCAGTGAGCATTTTTGGAACCCATCGGGAACACAGTTTGCGATAATTCAAGCGGTCAGACACAATTTCGAACAAACAGTACGTGAAATTTGTGGAAATGCCTCTGAAAGAGTTGTCATTGTGAAGCGTCTGTTCTCATGAATTGCTTCATCAACTTTCCTTACCAAATCATCGGTGACAACAGAAGGCCGACCACTCCGAGCCTCGGCGTGGACATTTGTTCGACCTGCATTAAACATTCTTACCCACTTTCTCACCATTCCATCACTTATCGCGTATTCACCGTAAACTTCTGTCACTTGACGATAAATTTCGGCCGGTTTAACATTCCTCACGTTCAAAAATTTAATCACGGCTCAAATTTCACAGTCAGTGGGAGAACTAATTGTCTTAAACATTTTGAATGTGCACAGCAAACTGAAAACACAACATAGAGCAACCAAAATGGCAACAATTGAAAGTCAGTGAACAAGAAAGACTAGTGCGCATGCACGGGATGCCTACCACAGCACTGCGACGGTGCTAGAATGAAACGGTACTTAGTTTCCAACGCTACGTATAAAGCAAGGTGACGTTATTTTAGAAAATATTATTAACTTGCAGTTTATGAAAGAAGGGAGTTCAAGCAACTTTTATGAAAGTTAGCCGGATACAATTATTTTATAAAAGTACCTTTAAATATATTTTCGGATGTGTTGAAAATAAGATTATGTACCTTAAGAGTACAATAAACATACATTTCCAGAATCATTATGGCTTATGAAAGAAGTAAGCTAACAGGAAGAAAGCCATAAGCATGAACATATCTTCACATTATATAGCATACTTACACTGTTATTACAGAAAACCATATTTTCTACTGTAATCAAATGTATAAGTCATATGTAATCTGCTGATAATTATTCTGTTATGCTTAATATATTATTTTTTTATCATATTTTACATATTTTCTGTTAATATTACCTGAATAAATGAACACTGAGTACTGAAAAGTGAAAAGTTTAATATGCATAATAATTAAAATCGTAAAAAACAACCTTGTATTTAGCATAGGTATAATGAAACACTCAATCGATTTCGAGGGCAGCTAAAGGTCCCTCCTCATCAGGAGAAAGAAATACATAGAAAGAAGAAAATAGGAGAAGGAGTCACAGAAACAGCTGCCCTCGAAATCGATTGAGTGTTTCATTATACCTACGCTAAATACAAGGTTGTTTTTTATGATTTTGATTGTCACATTAGCGTGTTTCTCTTCTAGTCTATGCATAATAATTATTGAACAAGCCCAAAAATATAATTTAGGATTTAGTTTTGAAAGTAATTAATAAAGCAATTTATGCGATTAGAGAGAGGAGTCCTATAATGTAAAGTTGTTGGTATAATTATAACATTATCTTTCATGATTATTTAAACTAATGGTTTTTACATTCATTTGTTTGACATAATAATAACTTTATTGAAGTTAAATAATAATAACTTTATTGAAGAATATACACTTATTTGAATTTAAAATAAAGCAATATACCTCATCTGTTGAAGAGTTGCTGTACTGAGAGCTTCCAGAACCATGCCTATTTTTGTTATCATTCTCATCAATGATATACGATATTCTCTCTGTCTTGCTAATTTGTGCATTTTGAACAAGGCCATGCTTAAAACTCTCATAATTGTTCAAAGGATTCTATATGAAAGAATTCAGAACTATCAGAATAATGATAAATAAACTAACTTTTTCCAAATTAGTTTATATACTATATTCATGCAAGAAACAGATAAGTCAAACTTGATACAATGATGTAAGTGACAAAATTATTTAATTGACTGCATATATATAATTAAAAAATAAAAAAAAAGAAAATATTTTATTTCAGGAAAAACTGTAAGCATTATCACAGCAATATTAAAAAAAGCAAGCACACACACATGTAAAAAAAAATTCATAATTTTAACATATTTGAGCAAGAAAAATAGGTACAAAAGTACAGATATTTCTGCTATAAAACTCACAATATTTGATGCAGAACACAACTCAAGAAACAGAGATTAACATTACACTCTACTAATTCTGGAATAGTGATGAGAGCTGCTTCTCAAAAAGCAGCCATGCAACTTCTCTGGAATTAACAGCTGTGTGTGATTTCTGGGTTCTGAGGCACTCTCTTTAGCTACAGTCAATGGCATTACACAGAAAATAGTTCAAATTTATATGGCTGAAGAATGCTGTGGTTTTTGCATCTGCTAACTTGCTCTGTTCTATTGTGCTGTACAAGTGCTCTGTGTATGTTTAATGGCATGCTTAGCTGCATTATGGGTACCCACATGTTAAATAATGTCAAATTCCATTGTGATTTTGTAGTGCATGATTTTTTATTATTTCACAATGCAGTGTATATTTAATTCTTAATAACTCTAGCAGATAACTTTTGTGAACATTTACAGCATTATTAAAAGAACATTACAGCGTTAATAAAAGATGTTTTTAATGCTATGTATTATACCTCTGGTACAGAATCTTTTCAGACTGATTTGTTCACATATGTTTGATAAAATCAAGTTCAGTATCCATTGTTTTTATCATTTGAAGTGTATATATATACTGGATGAGCAGTAAAAAGCTAATCAGAGCTCTTTCTAAATAAGGAATGAACGCATTTAACTATAACTTAAATAAAAGTTGGAGAAATGAAATTTTAAAGTTTCCTCCAACAAAGAATAGAAGACAATTGACTCTATTGTTGTTTTTCAACCCTTTTGAGCTAGGAAAAATATTTTTTAATATTTTTTCCCCTGTGGATGACTGCACAAAATTTTTAATTTTTTGCATATTTTTACTAAATGCTTTAGGCCCATAATCAATCATTTAAAAGCTAGCATATATATACTTTAGATACTCTGCAGAGTATTAACAAGTTTGCCTGCATGGTAATAATAGAGAACAAAGTCTAAGATGCGGACTCATTAAAGCTTTGGTAATTCCGGATTTCGGAAGTTTCCAGATTTTAGATCATCAGTTCGAATCTAGTATGATAAGCTACATAAATTATAATACTAAAGGTAAAAACCAGTTGTTTATGAAATAATGGAGCATTTATGATTTTAAGGGAATCAAAATTTACAAAAAAAAAAAAAGGTAAATATTTATTCGCTTCCTTTATTAAAAATTTCTTTCAATGTAAGCTGTACAAGTTGCTCATTTTGGGGCTAATACTTTCTCCTTCATTCTATAGACAGCCATAATTTCTCATTCAGTAACAAAGTTCCATTGTTCAGATTCTGGAATTGCAACGTGAAGAATTCCCACTAAATTGTTAATATTCTCAATAACCTCTCTGTCACTTTCTTAACAACTTCTCTGTCACTTTCTTGTCAGTAGTGATATTTTCTGGCTTTAGAACCGTACTACAGATTTTGCCATCTGCTGATTGGGGCATTGCCAGTGCAATGGAAAACTTCTATTATGTTATCTTCATTTATTACTACTTTTCCATATTTTTTCCTAAATTCCATGAACTGGGAAATTTCACTTTTTGTTTGCAATATTTTAAAAATTTCAAATTCATAGCTATCATTATAAAGCTTAGCTACCATCTGCTATACATTATTGGCAATGTGTCATGAGACTAGAGACATATTATTCTGCTGAATTTTGTCTTGCCTCTATCGCATGCTGTGGAAGTTAAGTCTGGAGGAAGATGACTGAAGTCTAACCACCACCAAGCATGATGTCAACATAAAAAGTTACCATGCTGTTTAGTATTCAATTGATAATATTTAAAATAAAGTTTCAGACATCTTTGCATTAGTTATTTCTTAACATGAGTTTATAGTCATGGTGATCAAAAAGATTCGCCAGGTTGGTGTCAAGGTATAAGTTATTCAGCAGGTGAAAAATCAGCAGTGAATTTCAGTAGATTGTTTCAGTATGCAAAGCAAAAAGACACCTACAGAGCTAATTATTGATCATACAGATTTATGTTAATAATAATATGTTTCTGCAACATGGAGATATTTTATTTAGTTCTTAAGTGAAATTAAGTATACCTTCACATACTTTATTATGAAAAAATGTGTACTGTGCATGCATGAAGCACTGAACATATGCTAAAGCGAGATACTATTCTTGAAATATACCTAATTCTTTTTTTTCCTTGAAATAATTCTAAAATAAAACAATGTTGGTGTTCTGGAGGTATGGGTATTGGATGTCTAGATCAAACTTTGTACTATATTGCTGAAAACATTTTATATATAATTAAATAGAATAATACAACAATTTTAAGTGAATATTTAAGCATTAAAATTTTTCACCTGTAAAAGTTATTGGATAGTCATTAATCTTTTTAACTTAAATAAATTTTCAATACTTCTATTTGATTCATAATAATTAACTTTTAAACAAACTCAGCATTAAGAATTAATAATAAATTTGCTTGTGATGTGTTAATATTACTACTTACCATTTCAGGGCCATCCAAACCTTTTGGCAAACGAACAGTAATACTCTTAACTTGATGAATTTTTTCACTCATCCTGCAATGAAGAAAGTAAAATTTTCAAAAATAATTCCCCATTATAGCAAAATATAATTCCCAGATTTAAAATGAAGAGAAAAATTTTATATGATACGGTGTACTTTCAAATATTTTACAAATCTCTTGAACAGTATTTCAAAGTACTCTATAAATATAATATATACTCCACTGTGTAAATCTAATATATGATTTCTATATTTTATGGATATACTGTATATTCTAATGCTTGTCTCCCCTATATTTTGTGGTATTACTAAGGGGCACACATATCGCTTATTTGTATTTATTCATGCAGCAGAATGTAAACATACTTTCTGTTGCATGAATAAATACAAATAATATTAATCATTTACATATTTACCATTACATAAATGATTAATTCAGAAATAAAATTTTAATTTAATTTTTTAATGTACCAATTATAAAATATGCCTACTGTTATTACTTTTGTATTGAAAGTAATATAAGAAAGAATTTAATGCATACATTTTAACAACTGTAATATTGTAATTATACAAAATTCATATATACTTTCTTTGGGGGGAAGGACTATTCATTTCTATTTTAAAATGATTAAAAAATTACAAGATTTGATTTAACCATTACTGCTCTCTCTCTCATAAGCAATATATTTTACACGTATTTTTATAAATAATTCAAACATAAATTTCATGATACTGGTCACATAATTTTTGACAGAAAACCTTATAAATGAATACATAAGATAACTTCATAGAATTACAGATGTCAAACTATGAACTTCATCAGAATGAGTTTGAATCCAAAACTTTCATAAGCATTCAATTCTTTTCTAGCTAATTACAGTCTTCATGTAAGTTGAAAGATTTTTTACATTTGGATAAATTAATAATAAACAGTACAACATCTTATTACTTGCATATATATGTGTAATTTGAAATCTGTTTAACTTTTGACAGAGAGGGCTATCAAATATTACTATGTTCATTGTGTATGAAATAAGTTTACATAATGAAGAAGATACTCACCATCTTACTAATTTATAAATGAGAAGCAAAAACAAAGCTAATGCTAGTGTTCCACCAATTGCCGCTCCTATGATCATAGCCAATCCTAAGTAGGAGTAAAAATATTAAACTGGTATACAAGTTTATATATACTTTTATGGATCATGATATCATAATAGTTCATTATATGTAACTATTATATACAATTCCCCGTAGATGCTTTGCTCTTTATCTATATTACCCATACAATATGTTTTAAAGTCACAATTATTACTTAACTTTGATGAACACATCTAATCAAAACAGTTCAGATGCTTCTTAATTATTACAATACATATTTTAACTAAAACAAAATAATTTCTTTTTTCTGTAATAGAAATATTTACTCGCAAAAATATTTTTTTAATACAAAACTATAAAATTCAATGCACATAACATTTTATTACAGACCTAGGCTCATAATTATTGCATTTTTAAGTCTAGAAATTAATGGCAGGGATACCAAACATACTTTATTTAAGTATGAAAATTATTTTATTAAAAAACTGTCCTAAAAAGGCATACAAATGCTGCAAGCAATGGAAGAGCATAATATGCAAAATTTAATATAATATCATCTACATAACTTACTGGGTAAGAAACATACACAGCAAGTGTCATTCACTTTCACAGAAATGTGTCTGGAACAACCAGCAGGTAGAACAAGAAAATAATAACTGCCTCTTTTAGATCTCACAAATCAGCTTGCCATTAATGACATCACAAAAGGTGTGAACAATTTGCAATAATGCTACTGGACAGAAGTTCTTATCTTTTCTGAAACTAAGGGAATGATCTATTTTCAATCTGCCAACAGCTTCAAGTAGGATGTTTGTGAAAAATGTGACAGGAAGTAAGGGATCAGCAGATATGACAGCTATAAAAAGGAAGGAATAAAAAATAAAACGATTAAAGGAGTGGGTGAAGGCCTCAGGAACAGGCTTCATCGAATCAAGGTTAAAGAAATGACACTGCTATCTCAGTGGGCAAGATTTGGTTTTATTTTAGAGGGCACTTTTCATTTGGTGACTTTTGCAAATAGGTTGTCTGAAGACAAGGTCAATGAAATAAAATCAGTATTTCAATCAGTAATTTGTTGTCTTATGATTACATAGAAAATACGCATTTATAATTTTTATGCTTTGCTTTGCTCCCAATAGCAGTAATGTACAATAATTCAATAATTAGCAAAAACAGCCATGTATGTTTAAGTAATATTTCCTTTCCTATTATAGGACTCACTAAAAGATGTACATTACTTTCTGGAATATTTAAAAAACAGAAAACAAAAACTGAATGTGAAACTTTTTCTCGCATAAGAAGAGCAAATTTTTAAATGTGTACAATAGTGGTAATTATACATAACTCAACAATCCATAAATTATCTGTCATAAAATCCATATGAATTTATTTGAATTGTTTATTATAAGTATGCTTCATAATTTATTAATATTATTTTTATTTTATTTTTAAAATAGTGTTATGATTTTACTAAATACAGTTCCTAGTCTTTAAAATATGAACATTGAAACATAGCAAAAATTCAACAAAAACACTTTGGATATATATATATATATGTGTGTGTGTGATTCTTGCTTGAGGAATGCATTTTTCTGGGTAATCAGATAATGACTCTCAAACCTGATAAATGGAAAAGGAAGGCTGAAGATGGAAGAAAAACAGAAAGAAAAAGTGCTGTTTGCTTTGCTTGAAAGGAGAAAAAATGTATACTTGGAAGAGAATTAATTAGACACAGAAGTAATTACAGTTTAATTCTCTTGATATTTGATCTTGTCTCTGAAATCTCATAAGAAAGGTATATTTTCTCTACTAGAATTTCCGAATACCTCAGATACTTTAAACCTATAAGCAGCTCGCAACACGCTATTTTATTGGCTTGTGTACATTAAAGGAGGTATAGTGTATGTATGATTTTAAAAACATTACGACAAATATTAGGAAATATATACATATATTTATTTCTATGTATGGTTATATATACTGATTTGGACTACTCAAGGATTAGCAGATTGATTTTCTCAATTGAAATATAAAAAGATATTGAATATCCAAGAAATAAAAGTAAGTAAAGAAATGAGAGACTAATAATAATAATTATTATTATATATCAATTAGAATTCATTGGCTATCTGGAAGAAACAAAAGAAATAAATGCAGATAACAGAAATACTTCTCACATTCCTTGAATGGACCTTATCAATCTATTTTTCAACTGCTAACAATTATAATTTTATTAATGTTTCCTATGCATATTCTTTTTTTTTTTTTTTTTTTTTTGTTTTAAAATTTTATGTTTATAATTTTAATATTAAATATAATAATAATATAGATGCTTTTCTTGCATATATTCTTCAATTATTAGTACGTCACGTGAGACCACTATAAAATGACATTTTATTTTTCGTATTGTACTTTGCTTTGTAATTCAACCTCTTTAAATGTAAAATTCTTTTATTTTTCATGAAATAATAATAAAGGAAAAAATAATTTTTTAAACTCAACTTTTTGCACTGATTAATACTGCAATATAAATTAACAGCTTTTTATTCCATCAAACTACAATTGAATAAAAACTTTTAATAATTCCTCTTAGATGAATATTTTTATCCGCCTATACTGTTTAAAAGGAAATCAATACAGGCTAGAAAAATTTTTAATGGTAAATTCATAAAAAGATCAAAATCTTATTAACAGACATACATATTTTTAACAAAATGTTGAACTACATAAACTGTATACATTAATAACACACTAATGTATTTAATGTATAATTTCTCAATTACTAATAAGAATTATCTTTTTATATTACAACCTTCACTACAGTGCATGTAATAAAATAAATTTTTCTATTGCCAAATTTCTTATACTATATATGCTCAAATTAAATATTTGAATTGATGTTAATTGTGTTTTAATTTTGATTAAAAAAACTGTATCAATAAAACACTTTCAGAGATATCAAGTAAATTAGCTAACATTTTAATGTTTTACACAAATGAGTAATTATTACTTTTTCAGTTTTAATTAAAGATTTTTTACACTCAAATTTTTGCAATACAACTAGAATAAATTATTTCAATCTGTTCACCCAAAATGCTTAACAAAATAATATTACTCTCATAAGAAAATTTGGAATATCATTAATGAATTTTATACATGAAACACATTTTAATTACCTTCAGATATGTTGCATGCTGTGGTTTCAGTAGGTTCAGATAAAGGACTATATAAATTAATTCCATTTTTCTGATTTGCTGCCCGTATATAGAAAAGGTACTTTATTCCTCCACTTCCGAGTTTAGAGCATTTAGGCTTCACAAATGTTGATAGACTCTTGACATGTATTCTCTCAATTGTATTGTGATATGATGAATCATTTACTGCTACTGGCATCCACTGAACATCGTAGAAATCAATCGGACCATTGGGATTAATTGGACGAGACCACTTCACTCTAAGATGAGTTGAATTTACTGGTTCTATACGTGGAGGATCCATAGCTCCAGGTTCTGCAGAAAAAATTTTACAATTAAAAAGTCTGTTAAAAGGAGATTATACTTACAAAATATAATATAACAAAGTCTAATTAAAATGTTAACAACAAGCTTAAGTAAAATAATTATATTTGAACTATCTCCAGTAGACTTTTTGTACTTACACATTAGTACAACCATCTACAGTTTGGTTATTGCATACATGGATATTAGTACATACATATTTTACATTTTATATAAATCTTTACCTCAAAAATCAAATAATATACCTAATAATAAATAAATAAATGGGGTTCTCTTTCTTTTCCTCTGGTGCACTTGTTACCTTTAGTGCTTTTGTGACAAAATACTCAATTTTGGTAAAAGTAATGAAATATGCTTCTAGAATGTCAACCACAATTTTGTCAATTGAAAAATAAGACCTTAAGTTTGTTTAAAAAAATCAATGCAGAGCTTTTATTTATTTCTCTATATGTCATTTTAATATTTTACAGATTTTTAGCATGCAATGATAGACATGGCAAATGCTCTGACAACATCACTGGTATTCAGGGCAGGATATCTCAGGATCATAAAATTACTGTAGCTATATGCAAAATTTTTAATCCATAGACATTTATCATTCAAATTATTTTATTGCATGTTTTACAATTTTCTTAATTACACTGCTATCACAAACTACACTTCAATTTTAAATGCAATAAGCATTTACTTAATAAAAAATTCAATTTATTGCCAAAGTTTATGGAGATGGGGTGAATAATGGAATAGTTTTAAAATACTGCTGATTGTTTAAATGATGAAAGACAAATGCCCATGATTCAGTCTGTGTAACTAACTACCACTGTTAAAATGGATTACATATTAAAAAAAAAAAAACTGTTGATGTTAATGTTCAAACGTTTCATTTAAATTTGGCAGCTGTGTTGAAGTGGTGTAAAATATTTGATTATAAAAATGATTCAAATAACTTCTTTTACAATGAAACAATTCTACTCACATACCACTAAGTCATTTTTTTTTTAAAAAAAGCACTTAAAATAAATAAATAAATAATAAAATTTAGAAAATCTGAAAGCTTTCAGATTTTACATTAAGCACAAAGGGGCGTTTTTTTTTACATTTTGTGCGTTACCTTTATTTATTAAATATCATGTTCTTTGCACTTAAACTATAAAATTAAATTCAACAGCAATAATGCAAAATAATTTTAAAATGAGCATACATTTAGAATTTCTGATGTACAAGTTTCGTGAGCTGGAGATAATTTTTTTTTCTACAATGTTGCCATTACTTGCTTTGAAATTGTTGAATTCGTTAAACACTAATTCTTTAATGTCTGACAAAATATGAAATTGATAATGAAACAAATTCCAAATTAGGGCTTCCAGATGCCCATATTCCGTGAAGGATTACGTTATTCAAAATTTGATGGTTCTAGGTACCCTTGTTTTATCACAGTACAAGAAACATACATACATTTACGCAGATTCTTCATTATTTAATTTCTTTAATGATAATACAAGGTGTAATATTTGGTGGCGACAGTTTGAAAAGTCAATCAACGCAAAATGCCAAAACAAAATTAAAAGCTCTTCTGGGATAATGCCCTTCAGACTAAAAAAAAAAAAAAAAAAAATTCAATTTAAAAGCATTATGAGATTTATTATGATAAAACGGATAATACAATTACTTAAATTATTAATGAAACAGTTGTACTCACATATCAAAACTAATCCTTTTTAAAAAAATTACTTTATACCCCCATCACCAAAAAAAAAATTCAATATAAAAGCATTATGAGATTTATGATGATAAAAGGATCAGTACAATTATTGAATTAACCATTACCAAATTTTTAGAGGCCATTAAATCCTGACAATTTAAAAAAAAATTCTTTAATTCATTTTACCTGAAATTTCACATTTTTCCATATCAGATTTCTCTGTGCATTATTCACATTTATGTTATACATTTTTATGTAATATATCTTTTACCAGAAGGTATAAATATGAATATATAAAGTAAGAATATATGCATAAGAGAAGAATATACCCATTAAAAAAACTTTCTAAAATATTAATATGAACATTTTTATAAACAGTTTCATTTACCTCTATAAGAAAAAGAATTCAGTAAAATTTCAATACTTTCATAATTTTATTTCTTTCTATGTTCTGCTTTTAATGTTTGCTATTTTCAATATGTTTAAAAAGAGAACACATATGTTAATGCATTAATATGCATCACAGATGTATATTAAACATACAGAGTGTTTCTAAACCAATGTATAACTAAATATCTTGTGAAAGTTGAACATAAACACATGCTTTATGGAATGAGAAATAAGGTATACATTTTTTGCTATACAGTTCTTGTCAAGTAAGCTTTTAGTAAAAATGTATAAAATTGAAATTTTTATGCAGGCTTTACGAAAAAATATCGATTAGAAATTATCTCACTGAAAGTTTGCTCGGGATGGGGGGGGGACAAATCAGTATTCAAAAGGGGCACTAAAAAATGGCAAGATTATATGACTTGAACTTATTTCACTCTCTCCCCCCCCCCCCAAAAAAAAAAAAGGTTGGAAGCATGATTCAGGACTCGCATAATATCAAATCTTATTAAATACAGAACTTTTGAATTTTAATAGTTCCACAGATATTAATTTGGAGGTTTAGTTTTATTTTGTTATAGCAAAGCATGCACAGGCTATGTGTTCATGGAGGACTTTCTAAGAAAAATTGGCTGGTACTCACATTATACATTGGAGAAAGCCACAAAAACAGCCACGCTGCCAGCACATTTGCTTGGCATAGAAGTCATGTTCAGCTAGCAGTGTCCATCGACTTTACAACACGACCACTGGTGGACAGACTGATTTGAAACTAATGCTTTAAAATCAATATTTTTCTATTATGAAGGGTGCATCTTTTAGCAATTTATGGATATTAACATCTAATAATTTTAATTAATGATACGGTTATTTTTTATTACTGAGGATGGATTCCTTTCTGAATGATTAATTCTCTTTGGAAAATAATTTCTTTTGTTACCATTTTTTTACATGCCTATAGAAATATTTTATGTTTTGTATATTGAAGAAATATATTATCAAACAGTCTTCACAAATTAAGGGCAAGCTTTACAAATTTAAGAACTATATGACAATTAATAAAATTAATGGTTACAATAAATAAAAATTACTTTATGTGTCTAATATATTTCTTACTTACCTCCAACATCAGTCAAGACATAAGATGGTGAAGACAAATTTGAACAATGTATGCTAACACAAGCTTGAACTTGCACTTTGTAAATATTGTAATGTCTTAATTCTGCAACTATCAACTTATATCGTGTTTGGTCATTCATCTGCTTTCTGGCATTTACTTGCTTTCTTGAATTATTGTAATGAACAACATAATGAGTTATTATTCCATTAGGTTCAGATGGTGGAAACCAGCTAACAAGAAATGATGCATTGCTTTCTGACTTGACTTTAACAATTCTTGGAGGATCAGAAGGAGCTATATAAATAATTTTAAAAATATTAATAAATTAGATTTTCTTGAAAACTAACTGAATTATATAATATATAATATTATGTGTAACAAATCTTAATTCATTTGATGTAAGTACCTAAAAAAACTTTATAATCTGTAATAACAGTCTGTGACTGTGTCATATAGTACACAGACAAAAAAGGCCAAATTTACAAAATTCGATTTACAGAATTACTGCATGACTTGGAGGCATAGGTTTAAAATTAAGGGTCCACAAATTCTGGTATAATTTTTACAATCCTGTATCCAAAAAACAGTACAATATATGCTCAAGATTCCAAACTGCTTTAATAAATCCCTTTTCCCAAAGTATCTGTCCTTACCCAGCTCATTCCTGAAATATCTTATCATTTAAGAACCTGAAAAACATGACACATCACTGAGAAAATGCTCTCCAATGCCCTTGCAATCAGGATGAACTATAAACTTTGCTAAATACTGCAATACATAATTTACACTATCTAAGAGCAAAGTTTCAGCTTTCAGTAAATCAATGCTATGCACAGTTAACAACTGCATCATCTAAAGTAGTAGCCATAGTATCTACTACACTCGCTGGACACATGTAAGTGTTTCTGAAATTCAAACCATATGTTAAGAACACATTTCGCTGCAAGCATATCAAGTTTCACGACATTTAAAATATATTTTCCATAGCATATCTCATTTTACCTCTGAAGCAGAGATTACATTTAGTTATATTTCACCCTTCATACTATGGATCCATATTTAATAAAATCATATACAATAAAATCCTGAAAAAGATGGATCTATATCCGATTACCATTTGAAGTCAATCGAGTTTTATTCAAAATCTATGTCAGTCTTAAGTTCCCCCCCTAATTTAAAATAAAATTTTGATCAATGCTCAAAATAAATTATGTCACTATTAAAGAAAAATACTCCAAACTCATCAACAAGCTAGATTTTGAGGATATATGCAGTATAAAGTGCAAAATCTGGAATGAACTAAAATATGGTCCACTGGACAACAAGCTAAGATTTTTTTTCTCCCAAAAAAGCTTTTGCATACTTTACTCATATGCATCTGCTATTTTTTCATAATAAAGTACAAAGAGAGTTTTGATTCTTAATTTCACTTCATTACTAAGTAAAACCATAATCAGCATAAACCTGTATAATATGCAAAAATATATGTATAATATGCAATAAGTTGGCTCTGTGACAATCGTTTTCCTTGGCATACTTCTCAAATAGAAATATTTTACATCAAAATACCATTGATTAGACATCTACTGATTAATTAATAGCAATTTAGAGAACCATTATTTATTTTTTTATCACTACATAACTATGAATACAAGACAGCTTAAGAAATGACTCAGGCAGCAATGTCCAAACATTTTTTTAAACTATTTGTAATTGAATATCAAAGAGCATACTTTGACATTACATTTGATATGATTATAATTATTGGCTTACTGTGATGCAAAGTGTTGAATGTGTTGATAAAGAGAAATTTAACATAAATTTCTTTCCATGTGCAAAAAAATAGATTTTGCAAATTATTCTCACAGGCAAAAAAGATTACATTTAGTGGTGTTTAAATTGATTTGTTATTCAGATAAGCCCAGCACCAGGCCTGGTGCAGCCACAGCAGGGAGCAGAATTTAAGGGTGGTCACATTTTTAAAATTTAGACAAGAAACAAAATTAAGGGATGGCAAAATCTTTAGAATTTAGGGAAAGCATTGGAATGCAACATTTACAGGCAGCGAAATATTTTGAATTTAGGGAGGTGCTTAGCAACAGAATTTAGAACCTCCAAAAACTACATCGAGCCACAAAATGTCTAGCAACAGCCCTATGTAAGTGTAAAGTATATGTGGGAACTTAATTCAGTACTCAGATAAGCCTTGAGCCTGTGATGGAAATAGGCTTAACTATAATATAATTCAGACTTCATCAGCATGCAAGACAAAATTTTGCATAACATTGTGTTTTCAGTTGCCAATCTCATGATGCACTGCAAACAGTGTTTAGCAGATGCAAGTGGAGCTTTATGAAAATAGCCACAAATTTGAAGTTTTTCAGATATCGAAAAAAAAAAAAAAGAGAAATTTTCCAATTAAAGGAATTTGTGGAGAAGTAATAATAAATGAAGATGATATAACAGGAGAAGATTTTCAATTGTGGTGACAATACTTCAACCATCAATCAACTAAGGGATGGTGAAATCTATATTATAGTTCTAAAGTCAGACACTATCATTACTGATAGTTAAGAAAGTGACAGAGATGTAGATGAGAACAAAAAATTTTGATTGACAAATTAGCACAAGAATTCTCAGCAAATAAGTATTGAGCTTATTTTTTAACATTTTGATTCCTTTAACATCATAAATACTCTATTACTTCATAAACCACTAGTTTATATTTTAAATTTCTACATATGGTCTTACTAGATTTAAATTGATGATCAAATATCTGGAAAAGTCCTAAATCCGGAGTTGTTAAAGTCTCGATGAATGCGGATCTCTGACTTTGCGCACTGTATTTCTACATTATAAAAACCGTATTTTACATCCAGAATGCAAAAACTTGCATTTAGTACTATAACCTAAATGGACATATTTCTAAGTATTTTTAGCTTGACATACAATGACCTCTTGATATACATCTGGGAGACATCACTCATTTCATATTTCATTGTAGACTTTGACGTCTCCGAGACGGCAAAAACTTTCTACTTTCTTCGGTGAATGCCATGTAGTATATTATTAGGTTCTTTAACTGCTGCAGTCATGCCTTGATCCTGTTTCATATTGTTACGGAGTTGGTATTTAAATAGCTAATGTTAGTTGAATTGTAAATTAAATGGTTTTATTTCCCACGCAGTGCAGCACGTGACGAATATTAAAAGAAAGCTAAGCCAGAAAATTGAAAATACAAGAGCGTGTGCATTTAACATTTAATATATAGCTCTTTTTGATTTTGAGAAAGTACTAGAAAATTCTCGCGCACGATTTTAAAATCTTATAAAAGGAGGAAAACCTCTCAGTTCGTAGTAGTTACTTAGTTTGTTGTTTTCAGAGTTTGTTTAGAAAACTGCTCTGGTTGCGAATTCGTGGATTAGCTTTCTTTAGCTGTTTTGAATTAAGTTCTTTTGAATGTTTGAGTAGTTAAAAGATAACTACTGTGAGATATTGTAATACTGAAAGAATATCTGAGGAAATATTTGTTGTGATAATAATAAATTTTTGTTCATTTTCCATCGGACTTGTGGATTCATTTCGTAACGAACCCGTACACACGTAACAATATGTTTTCCCCTTCTCAATAGACAAATATTCTGTTTTGTATGCTTTTCCCTATTTTTATCTATATGTCAAGGGGTTAAATATTTTATTCCTCTCCTTTAAAACTAATGTTACACTGAAGTTATATGTGTTGGTATTATAATAGAAAATTTGAATGCTAAAATACATTCACATTTTATTATTGATATTATAAAGGAAAGAATTACTGGTTATGTAAAAGTCTAAAGTCAGAAGACCAAATATCCACAGAACTCCTGTCTCATCATTACCACTTATGCTTCAATGTGTGCTCATTTCAACATAGTTAAACATTTTTTCCTTACTATTTTGTCAGTTACTGTCAGTATTCTAAAAATCTTTTTCTTTTAAAAATTTTTCTTACTGTTGCCATTTATCATTTTTGAACCCTGTCTTGCTGTATCTACAAGCTAGAAATCCGTTGAGTATGTATTAAATGCAGTAGAACTAGCTGACTTTCGTATTATTGACTATAGACAACATTCATATATAGACTGTGATATTGTTATTTACATTTCAGTCCTAATTGACTTTTAGGACTGAAATGTAAATAACAGATTCCTAATAAAAGAAACTAAAACATTCCCAAAACATATTATTAAAACTAATCACAGATTTAAAGAGTGAAAATTCTTTCAATTATAAAAAAAGTTCTATAACACTGATTTGACCAGCACATATATTATATTAAATAAAATAAACATAAATTTAGAAGACGAATTGAGGAACAGCATCTATAATTGCTGCATTGGATATTAATTTATATTTTATGTGTGATTTAATAACAATCTTTCACATGGATTAGATAACTCTGCATTTCACTAATTTTTCTTGTTAAAATTGTTATTTGTAATCATGTTTCTTTTGTATTTGAAAACAATTTATAATTTCAATTAAAGCAGATTCACATAATAATAACTATTTATAATTTCCAATTTTTATTTTTAAATAAATTAAATATTTCAAGCAAAATGACTTTAAATATTAAAAAATATTACTTACCACCTGCTAAAGTAGTCTGGTACCTTGCTTCACTGTCTTCACTTGACACATTTTCTTTATTAAATGCTCGTATTTTGATACTATAATTTGAAAAAGGATGTAGATTGTGAAGAAGAAAACTTTCTGCTTTTGGCTCTGCATTTAGGACTGCAAGTAAAGGTGATAGTAACAAAATTCAAATGAGTCTAAAAATTTGTTAGAATAATTGATATTTAACTTTTTAAAACAGGCCAAAAGTTATTCAAACCATTTTAATTCAAAAAGAAACTACACAACTTTATGTGCTGAGAAAAAATGGATTCCTTTTAGGTTAAAAAAAAAATCTTATTTATTTTAAAAGTAGAAGGTCCTTTTTAGGAAGATAACGGAAATCTTTATAATTCTTAATTATACAATCACACACACAAGGGGAAAAAAAAGAAGATTATTAGATGGTATAGTTCATTGGCAATATAATTCTAGAAACGGAGAGCAAATTATTTATTGTTCTCAGTTTACATCTCAGTTACCTGTGTATTATCAATACGCAGGTATTAATATTTTATAGTTTTTGTTAAATTTAAAAATTTTCAACCAAAATAGCCTTAATATTTTTATGATACAGCATGTTGCATTTGTTAAGGTATTCCTTAAACAGAAAAACTACTATGAAAATAATTTGGCATATAATTAAAGGATCAAATAAAGTACATACATCACCATTATTAAGAATGGGTAACAATCTAAGCACATACAAAAGAAATTTCCATGAATGCAAACAAATCAGTGACACTAACATTTTGCTTCTGTGCATGTGTGTAAATTAGTATATATATATATATAAAAGCTCAAACTGAACAATGAATTGATTAATTTTATAAAAGCTTAATAGATTTGATTAGAATAATACAACAGAGGAAAAGTGTTAGGTCAGGCAACTAGAACTACAGACTTCAAAGCAAAAAGAAAAATTTAAAACACAACAATAGATAACAATGTAAGAGAATAAATAAATAAATATAAACAAATGATATGAAAAGTAAAAAATATTAAGTTAATAAACATAAACAAATACAGTACAAAGTGTGTAATCCAGACATCCATTATCCAAAATGATCTATAATCCGGACCTCAAAGACCCAACCTTTTTTTTGTGTGTGTGTGTGCTTTACGCATGCACATTTAATGTATAACAGATGGTATAAGCTAGGCTAAAATTATCTTTACTGATTCTAAGGCATTTCAGTTAATGTTTGCAGGTTGTGCTGTTCCTTAATTTTCTAATTGGAACTGGCTTATTATTTTTTGCAGACTGTTAGAGCAATTTTATAAAAATTAAGCTTGAACTTTCGATTATGTCAAAAAGAGTTTCCAATTCTGGAGCTGCCAAAGGATCTACAAATGCGAAAGCATGTTTCGATGTCTATCAAACAAAAAGTGGAATAGCTGCAAAAAATGGATAAAGGCATATCGTCTCAAAATTATGCGAGGAGTACGACATTGGAAAGTAAACTGTATATGACATAAGCAAAAAGGAAAAGGAACTTTTTGAATTTTTTGTGGATTCCGACACCCCACTTGCAATGAATAACAGAAAAAGGTTTGTTATGCTAAAAGTGATGATCATGACAAAGTGATGATTGAATGGGTCAGACAGAGTTGCAGCAAGGGCGTGCCATTTACAGGTGCAATGCTAATGGCTCAAGCCAAAATATTTCATGAAGAAATTAACTTAAACACTGAGTGCACATATTCAATAGGTTGGTAAACCAAATTTAAAAATTGCCATGGTATAAGACAATTAAAAATTTCAGGTGAAAAAGCTTCAGCTGATACTGAAGCTGCTGAACAATTTGCAGAAGAATTCATTGAACTCATTACTAGTGAACAATTATCTTCAGAACAAATTTACAATGCTGATGAAACTGGTCTTTTCTGGCAATATGTACGTGAAATACAGAAAAGGTGGCAACTGGTGTCAAAGATTCCAAAGCAAGACTAACAATTTTAGCATGCAAAAATGCTGCAGGAACACACAAGTGCAAACTTTTCGTAATTGGAAAACATGCACGACCTCGAACATTTAAAGGAGTAATGATTTTCCTTGTTATGTATCGCGCAAATAAAAGAGCATGGATGACACAAGCATTGATGAATGATTCGTTTGAAAATCATTTTATACTCGAGGTTCGGCGACATTTGAATTCGGTTGGTTTACCTGATGACTCAAAAATAGTCCTGATTGTTAACAACTGTTTGCCACATACTTCACTTAAAGTTTTAGTGAAAGATAATGTATCCATATTATTCTTCCCTCCAAATGTAAGTCTATCATTCAGTCTATGGATATGGGAATAGTGCACGTGCTGAAATGCAAATATAAAGTAGCCTTTTTAAAATCTATGTTAAATTTCTCGAACAATGGCAGGACTATTCAAGACCTTTTAAAATTTTTTAGGATAAAATCTGCTGTGTGGAGCATCGCAAGATTGTGGGAGGATGTGTCTCCAGACACGCTAAAAAATGCTTGGCATGATTTATGGCCAGCTACCATATTTCATGGTGAGGACGATGAAGATGGTAGCCACAAATTTGAAGGTTTTCGGACATCGCAAACTAAAGGTGAAATTTTCCAGTTATTGGATTTTGTAAAAAAATGTGGAGAAGTGGTAATAAATGAAGATAATATAACAGAAGTTTTACATTGCGACAACAATGCCACAATCATCAATTAATTAATGGATGGCAAAATTTGTAGTATGGCTCTAGATCCAGAAAATACCACTTCCGATAGTGAAGAAAGTGACAGAGAGGTGAAACCGAAAAAAAATTTCGATTGACAAGTTAGTCGGTATTCTGCACACAGCAATTACAGGACTTGAACAGTGGAACTTTGCAACTGAAGAAGAAATTATATCTGTTTATAGAATTAAAGAGAAAGTATTAGCACAAAAAACTAAGTAACTTAAACAACTTACATTGAAAGAAATGTTTAATAGAGTAAACAAATAAATATTAAGCTTTTTTTTTGTAAATTTTGATACCCTTTAGATCATAATTGCTCTATTTTTCATAAATTACGGTTTCATATTTTTGATTGTATAATTTCTGCATGTCATCTTACCAGATTTAAATTGATGATCTATAATCCATAAAAACCTCTAATCCGGAATCACCGAAGTCGTCGATGAGTCCGGATTACAGACTTTGTACTGTATTTTTTTGTTCATCATATTTTTTTACTTCTGTTCTCTTACATTTTGATATATTGTGTTCTTGTTTAGATTTTCGTTTTTACTTTAGAGTATCAATTTCAGTCTGTTCAAGGAAAAAAAAAATGTCCTTTATTGCAATATACATTACTTATGCATGTATGTACATATATATATATATATATATATAATAAAGCTTTAAAAAACAAAGAAATCTGTGCTAATGCTGCTAGGCAGATAATAACAAAATTAAAAAAGAAAAGTCGGAACTAAAATGAAAAAAAAAAATTTTCTCTCTGTGTTTATATATATATACATAAAGAGAGAGTGATTACTTAATCAAGAAAGATTACACTCTTTGTGTAGTTACACTGTGTGCAAAAGCAAGTTTGGTGTGTCATAAGTTAAAAAAAAAAATTCAGAACACTCATAAATTTCTGAAACAATTAAATAATATATATCAAAAGCAAAAAATAAAAATAATTGGATAATACCTTTGCATTCTTCATATTTAGAAATTCGGCAGTATGAAATTTCATAATGATCCACAACAGCTGTTTGTGCCTTACAATCCAGATTCCAAATAACTTGCAACTCAGTTGAAGTCTTTTGCTCAACTCGTACATAAGGTATTTTTCCCAAAGCTTTCAAAAAGCACAATACATTACTTACATGTAATGCAAAAACGAATATGAAAGTTATTAGTATAAATGAGAGATAGAACATTTGAATCCTTGAATATTCAAGAGCTTTAATTATGTATTCATTTACTAAATTTTGCTTCTGTCTTCCTAAAATATACCAAGTGCTTATTTAAAATCTGTTTTCTGAAATTTGTTTTGCATTAAACACAAGTTCAAAATTTTACTTTAACCTTTTTGCTAAGAAAACATTTTCTTTTTCTTATTATATTTATATGTAGGACTCAAGATTCAAAAGATTAAAATCTTTAAGGAATTGGATTCAACAAATTCACACAAAATTTAAGAGATTTACTTTATTATATTGTTTTTAAAGACATAATTAACCTACATTGGTGTCAAGGCCATCTTTATATGCATAAAAACACTAACTTTTAAAAATATTTGAATATAATTGAATAACATTATTAGTGATAACACATAACATGTAAATATAAATAAAAAATTTAGTTGTCAATGAGTAAACTCTATTCTGAAATAAATGAAACTAGAAAAAACTTAAGAAAAAAGATTTAGGAAAACACCAGCACTTTGAAAACAAAAGCAGACTTCCGACATCAATAGGAAGTGCAGTTTTTTCTAACTCACAGACATTTTATGCTTTCAATAAAGGGTGTTAATTAGAGTTTGGAGGAGAAAGTGTAATTCTTCCCCCAGTGTAGTCTTGAAGAATGTCCTATGAGTTCTCTAATACATCCAAATCTGCAGATTTGGTTGGTCAGTTTCAAGAAATTCATCAGCTGTGTTTTCTTGATGTAAACACACATTACCATCTACAAAAAGATTTAGAAGAGTCAGATTCAAATACTGCTTTTAAGATGAGAAAACTTCCATTTTAATATCTTGTACCATAATAGCACTGCTGATAATGGCCATATTCTCTAATGTCGGTGGGAATATTTCACATATGTTCCTTGCTTCCTCCAAATGTAAATGCATTTAGAATCAATATCAAAATGAATTCAGTTTATCTCTAGAGTGATGACATGTCCAATATTATTGGCAACGGCTCTCATGCACTAATTCATAGCTATCTTCTGTTGATGCAAAATCATTGAAGCATAGACCACTAGCTTTCTTGTAAGAAAGTAAGATTGCTATGTATTACAATCTTTTTCATTAAGCTTTCTCAATTAACTTTCTGTGAAATAAAATTCCAGCAGTAGATGCAAGCTAAAAAAACAGATGTCTGATAATTATATTAATTCAATAGTAGGCATTACAGAGAAAAACCAAACAGCAATTGTCTTTCTTTAACAAGCTTAATCTCCTCGTCCTAACTATAGTTCTGAAGTATTTAAACTGTTAATAGAGATTTAAAATTTATCATGTAACATTCAGCTGTCCCTCTTCCATGATTATGTCTTGTTTGTAGATGAAAGATAGTTCTCTATTCAGTGATTCTGCCATAGGACATTCCAGCAATGCAAAAAATATTTTGACTCAATAACTATTGAACTCAAATCTTGAACTGCAAATGTTCACTGAATTACACACCCAGTGCTAAATTCTTGTCAAACATGCCAATTTGCATTTCATAAAGGACTGTTCAAATTGAACTGGATAATAATAACCACTTGGATTATCTCAGTTAACAAAAAATAAACTAAACTGAATGGCTACTTGATGAAATATCAATATGGTTGTCTCCATGTAATAAATTTTTAAGCTAGTAATTTAGAAAATAGTGCCTTCTTTAAAAAATAACTATGCTACTCGATCATAATACTTCCAGGTTTGAGACATTTTTTTAAATAATTTTTATGTCAGCACAACATACATTTCTCCTATTTTTATATATACGTATTTGGCTACTGGTCTGTTATCAGGGGATTGGATCCAGAAATTATATATGCATGTATTTATGGATGTATGTGTTCATGCATGCATGTACATCTTGTACAAAAAAAAACAAAAAAACAAAAAAAGTTCTATATCTTCCATTCTACTGAAACAACTGTCTAAATTTAACTTGCGTTTTCCATGCCTTGAAAGCGTAACTTAGGATATATGTTAGATTTATGCATAGCAATTGTTCTAACATAGGTATTTTGACACCATATCGGACTTTTTCTGAAATGGCATGCTAATTTTTTTCCAAATTTCGATTCCACAACTAAAATGACACCAATGTTCCAATTTTGAAAAAATCACACGAATAGTTTTTAAAAAATTAGCTCTCAAAATTTTAGCAAAATTAACTATTCATGTTAATTGAATTTAGTATATATTTATTAATATCTCTCTTTTAAAAAAACTTACTTGATTTTCCTTTCATATTTCGATATTTAGCTTCATTCCAAATTAAATTCGCCAATTTTTTATGATTTTTTTAAAAAATTTGTTTTTAAAATAATTTTTATAATTTTTTCGAAAAAATATAACCTCTAAAATTTTTACCATCATTTTAAGTAGATGTATTTATTTCTAAGCATACTGCAAAAATAAATTAAAGTTTTTATTAAAAATTTCCTAAGATATAACGTGAATTTACATATTGGTGCATTTTTAAATTTGGCATATTTGTCATGAGCGATAATAATGCCAAATATGATTTACCAACATTTGTCTTGAGCAATAATAATGCCAAATATGGTTTACCCACTTTATTAAAATTACTTGAAAGAATGAAAGACACATCGTTTTTCCCCCGCTTGTGCATAGTGAAAGCGAAAAGAAAATAAGCTACCATAAATTAAGAAGTTCGCCAAGTGAGTTATTCTTGGCAAAAACTGAAAAAAATGCGCAAAGATAAATTTTTTAATTTCTCTGCAAATATTACAAAATTTAATATCTAGGCATAATTTGATAATTTGAGTCAAAGAATGTAAACATGAAAAAAACATTGGTACGTTATTTCAGAAAGAGTCCGATTTTGCATCAAAATACCTATGTTAGAATAATGCCATATATAAATCTAATATATATGTATACTAAGTCCTGCTTCCAAGACATGAAAAACACAAGTTAAATTCCGACAATCAGTCTAGTAAAACAGGAGATACAGAACTGTCTCATTTTTTTGTGTGCAAGATGTATATATGTAAACACAAATGTATGTGTGTGTATACATACATATGCACATACAAATACATACACACGGCATACATTCATACATTTCTGAATCTAGTACCAATAACAGAACAGCACCTAAATTTAGAATAAATATCTCTTTTTTGAATTAAATTAAATACATTAATAAATCAAAGAGCTAAGCACTCTAATAAGCTTGAAAATGCCATAAAAATGTGATTTTTAAGCTTCATAAACTTTATGGAATCTATGACATTTGACATGATTTCACGATTCGATATTTTTTTGTTTTGAAGAGAATTAATATATAAAGTGAAATAAAAAGTTATGGCTTCAACCAACATTTTCAGCATTAGTGCTTACTAAGTTTTAATTTGTTTTCTTTTACTAAAATTACTGACTAACCAATTTTTATTTGATTTTAATTTTAGTTGAAATATTAAAGCCTAAATAAAATTTGCATGGAATCCTACTTGAAGGCAAATGGAACCAAGATTATTTAAAATTTGCTGAATATTATCTTGAGCATAACTAGGATAGCAAAAAAAGTACAAGAGAGTATTTTGAGTACAAGAGTGCAAGAGAGTACAAGAGTATTTTGAGTTACTTGGAGATTCTTAAATAATGTAAGTATTATTAGTAAATAATATTGATAGTATTAACAAAAAGCAAATGATTAACAAATGCTCTATAATTCTGTAAAGCAAAGCATAAAACATGAAGAATTTGGGAAATTAATATTTTTTATAATGCATATGATTAAATAAAAAAATACTTACCAGCTTTATGTGGTACAATGCAAGAGGCCCAGTGCATGCCAGAACTTCTATTTTCAGATTTAGCAACAACTGCAAATTGATAATTCATCATAATATCAGTTAAGTTTAGAATTATATTATCCTCCATTAAAGCTTCATTTAGCCACTGAATTGGACCACCACAACGAGTCTGCCATGGTTTTAAACTAGAGCACCAGAACACCATATACGTAACTGGAGAGGAAATGTTGGGTTTTGTCCATGACAAATTATAATATCCAAGATCATGTGATATAGCTCTTATATCTTTTGGTCCAGGCACAACTGAAAATAATAAAAATGATGAAAGCAAATGTAACAATACTAGATAAATTAAGTTTATAATTAATGAAGTATATTAAAACACAGATTTTCACATTAATAATTAGCAAGCAACTGTTGATTTATTTTTGTTTACATATTCTTAATTGCTCACTGCCATACTAAAGTACTTATACGGTGGCTCCCAAAAGTGTTCGTTTCAAGTTCCAGTAAAATATTCCTTTATTCTTTAATAAAAATTAATATTTGAGAGTGAGAATTTTTTAATAGTATCTGCAATTTTCTCTTAGCAAAAAAACGCATTATGTACTTTATGAGCATAGTAAAAGTTTTTTTTTTTTTAAATTAGTAATCAAAAAGTAACAGAAAAGTTACTTCACAAAAGTCTTCACACACTTTAAAGAAATAACAATATTTTTGTAACTGTTGTTTGTAAAAAAAATTTTGCACTTGAAATTTTAAAATTTTCACAAAAATTTTCTTGAAGCAGAGCACCCGTGGAATCCATCTGATCTGAGTACTTGTGGAACAGTTTCAGGTGAAATTGAAAAAGAAAATTTTTCAGTAAATTCTCTGGAAATCTTTACAGCACTCAAACATGGATTATTCTTAATTTTCTAACTATAAATCTCTCATCACATTGAGTTAACTTTGCCAGACGATTTCTTCTTACTTCATTTTCCATTTTTTTTTTTTTTTTTTTTTTTCTTAAAGCGTTTTATCGTGCACTGCACTGTAGAAGCGGATAAATTTATGGCTGTTGTTAATGGATGCCATTTTTTGATTGCACGTTGAATGTTAACAAAATCTGACTCGGTAATATTAACATTTATATTTAATTCTAGGATGATATATATTTTAACATATATTCACTTATACACAATCACATTGCATTTAGTTACAAGATGAGCATTTTTCAGTTCGCAAGTCCGCATGAGAAAAAATCAAGAAAGTCATGTTACAGCTACAATAACATCACGGAGGGAAAGAGAGGTGAGTGCGTACTTCACCGACAGCAGCCAGGAACCGAGTAACGAGTTCGAATTTTCCTCCAGAGAGGAAGAGGGAGAAAGCTGGTAGCGCCCTCTCTCGGGGCAGCGGACAAATAATAATAATAAAGAGTTCTCCACAGATTTACTAATTTAGCGATAGTCAATTTTCTACCCTTATGATAATTAGATCGATTTTCTACCCTTATGATGAAAAATTATCAATTTTTGAATGATATTTTCCTTACTACTACAGTCAAAAGTCGTTAATCCGGACTCATCGGGACTTCGGCGATTCCGGATTATAGATCATCAGTTTAAATCTGGTAAGATTGCATGCAGAAATTATAAAATTAAAAATATGAAACCGTAATTTATGAAATAAAGAACAATTATGATCTAAAGGGTATCAAAATTTACAAAAAAAAAAAAAAAAAGATTAATATTTATTTGTTTACTTCATTAAACATTTCTTTCAATGTAAGTTGTTTAAGTTGCTTCGTTTTTTATGTGATAATACATTCTCTTTAATTCTATAAACAAACATAATTTCTTGTTCAGTTACAAAGTTCCGCTGTTCAAGTCCTATAATTGCTGTGTCGAGAATACCGACTAATTTGTCAATCGAAATTTTTTCGTTTTCAATAACCTCTGTCACTTTCTTCGCTATCGGAAGCGAATTATAATGATGAGGAATTTGATTTAAATCATATCAAAGAAGGAGTACATTGAAATGAAATACTACACTTAGTAAGGAATTATAAGCCAAATAAAATAAAAACATCTGCCCTGAAGATAAGGATAGTGCTGACAGATGAACTTCCAATTCATTGCGCGCCACGCCACGGCGTTAAAGATAAACAAATTTTTAGATAAACAAAGGATATGCCTTTATCCATTTTTTGCAGCAATTCCACTTTTTGTTTGATGAAACATCGAAACTTACTTTCGTTTTGTAGATCCTTTGGGAGCTCCAGCATCGGAAATTCTATTTGACATAATCGAAAGTTCAAGTTTACTTTTATAAAATTGCTCTTACAGTCTGCAAAAAATAATAAGCCAGATCCAATTTGAAGATTAAGGAACAACGCAATCATCAACATTAACTGAAATAGATAATTAGATAATTTTAGCTTATACCGTCCGTTATACATAAAACGTGCACGCGAAAACGTATTCTGCGCTTGCGCACACACATATGCGCAGTCGTAAAGGTCTTACGTCCGAATTAACAACTTTTGACTGTATAACCCATTTTTAAGTATTAAATCAAATATAATGAAGCAAGCAAAGAACAAAGCCAAGCGAATTTTTAAATGTCAGCAAAATGCAAAAATATTAAAAAAAGTGGCAGGTGATAATTTTATGAAAATATTTCGGTGCAGAATCACTTTTGTGGCATGTTTTATTTACACCTCGTTACATTTCTTAATTTTAGAGAAAGAAAATAAATCAGTATTAAAAAAGAAAAATTGCATGGAGATGATATGAAAAAATATTGGGCTTTATATTCGAATTCAGTTCTAGGCTACAGCACGTTTTCTACAAATTCTGAAAGTGTAGGAGCACTTTTGGAAGCCACTATATATCACATATTTAGCTTTGTGCAGCTATTAAAGAAATGTTTTATAAAATTTTTTAAATTGAACAATAATTATTGGATGCTTTATTTAGGAAAGATATCTAAGAACTTCACAAAAACTAAAGTTTTAGTTGAAATAGTGCTCACTTTATTAGTGATGTTTGTTGGAATACTTATTTAATTTTATTCAAACACACAATAACTGTAAAAATAAATAGGAAAGGTTTTATTCTAAAACAAGTAATTGTAGGAATAAAAGGAAAACTTTTAGTCTAATACAAGTCACTGCATAAATAAAATGAAATATTAACTTGTGCAAAAATATATCAATCAATTTATTTTTATGTATCTCTATCTCAAACCTAACTTGTGTTATGAAAATTCTGCATTTTCTCGCAATGATTTTTTGACATCTTTTATCATAGAATTTCAAATTCAAAGAATCACTTCATAATTAATGCAGCACATAATTGAAACAACTTAAAGATAGAAACGTAATCATGCTTCACTGATGAATTTATTAGATACTTTTAGCAAAATAGTCTTGTTTACAATTAGCAAAATAGTCTTGTTACAATTGATTTTAGAAATGCTTCTTTAAAACCAGTTAATAGAACTTCAGATATTAATTTTCATTTAAAATACTTCCATTTAGAAATTCTTCATTATACCTAATGAAACAATAATTTACAAGAATCTAATTCACTCAAAATGTGTATGCATTTTCAACTCAAGACATGAAAAGAAGAAATTTTTTTCAGAGACATAACACATTTAAAAAGAGAAAAAGACAGAATAAAAACCCTAGCTTTTACAGAAAAGATTACACAGTATTACACATTATGCAACACTTCCTCAAAGTCAGTAAGATAATCTTATTTCTTAAAAGTAATTGAAAAGACTGCAAGCGATTTTTTAAAGCAGCTACAATACTTACTGATACTTCAGTTCCATAAAAGACCAGTATGTTTTTACAGTTTACAAAAGTAGTCCAAAAAAGATTTTTGGTTTCAGAAAAAAAGATTTTTGGTTTAAGGAAAAAAGAGAAAATATCATATAGTATTTGTTTTATGAAATGGATGAATAAAACATGATTTTAATCGCAAAAGCCTGTAATTTATTACAGTTTTCCAAATGTATTTGAAATCATATGAAGAACTGCGTGATAGGAAAAAAAAAGTGTCTGTCCATGCCGTCTAGCATATAGTCAGATTTCCAGCCTTTTCATTAATCTAAATTCATGGCAAATCTTTATTAGGATACACTTCTATATCCTGTAAACAGAATGAAGATCATTGATTTTATTCATCACATCTAATCTCCAATAACTCAGCTTAAATGCATCATCAACATTGCATCACTTCTAAGGTTTCCAATACAGTGTCTGAAAACTAGGAAAAGTGAAATTACACAACATGATAGGAGTTTTTCTGGTAACCTCGGAAGGCTGAAAATGTTTCCTAGATAAAATTATTGATAAATAATCCTTTGTTTAATGCTATTTTTGATTACATGTTTTGCTGAAATCGTCTATTTGGTTAAGCAAGGAAAATCTCAGATACCAAATAAATAACTATCCCAGAAATGAAACTTCGGAGTCGTTCATGTTACATAAGAGTGATTAAGAGAAATTAGAGATAGTTTTGAGTCATCACCATGTAAACAAATTATACATATGTCTGAATTTTTTTTTTTTGGCTAACATGCATATGATTTTAAAAAAGGCATTTTCTGCATATTGAAAGGATAAAGGTAGGATTTTTAAATTCACTTCACAGAGGATGATAATTACACTTGGATTAGTCAGCAAAAATCAAATTCATTTAACTTCACATTGCCATCTGAAGGTTTACATAAAATTTCTTTCTAATCTCTAAAACGAGCTACTACTGGCTGATTGATAAATCATTGATTGGTAATTTCATATTAAGTTTGATATAAGAGAAAGCAAACTAGTTATACATGAATTTCCTCGGTTTTCCACATATATAATGTTGCATACAAATTTCTTTCTTTCAGAGGAAAGAGAATGCATATCTAAGGAAATTCTAAAGTACATAAATTCCCAACTTAATTATTATTTAAACCCATATACTGAACTGGAATATTCCAGATGCCCCACTAACTATAATTGTGTTATTTTATACTTGGTGGTCAAGAGTTATTTTTCTATTCCTACTAATTCTTCATATCTTCCTTTTTCGAGGACCTGCTATCAATCTAAATTCATTGGCAATGTTTAATTCCCCAAAATGTATCACAATGGGTAACACCATAGTTGTATATACTTTTAATGAAATATTCATATTGTTATTGATTATCTTCATCAAATAGTGATTTTAATTATTCTTTTATAAAGTATTTAAAAAAGAAAAGGAAAAACTTACTGTTTCTTTGGACATCCACCATGACAGTCTTGAAATGACTTGAAATGCCTTCATTGTTAGCAGAATAGATATGAAGGTTATAAGCTAAATCTTTATGTAAATTTTTAAGCTCTGCATATGGAACAGAAGAGTTCACAACACTAGTAGTTAAATTTGTTGAATTTTCTAAACACACAATGTAATAACGAAAGTTTTCTCCATTGAAGTGCCTTTTTGGAACAGGCTAAAAAATTTACAAATAATGTGAATTAAACACTAAATGATATATATCTTTTACAGAAAAAGTCAAAAAACATCTCATTAATTATATTTGTAATAAGAATATTGCTTACCTTCCAATATAAAGTAACTGATCGAAAATGTTCAAAATGATGAAGTTCAAAAGCTTCAGGTGCAACATCCGGTGTTAAATATGGGACTAAAAATATAAATGCCAAAGTAAAAAATTTACATGTCAAATTTAAGAAAATCATATTTACCAGCATAATTGGTACTGTTCTGTTATCGTGACTGGATTCAGAAATGTATGAATGTGTGCATGTGTGTGTATGTATGTGCATATATGTGTATATGTATACACACACATACATTCTTACTTGCATATATATATGAACATATACATCCATACATACATTTCTGAGTCCAGTACTGATAACAGAAAATACCATATAATCCTACCCATTTTTCCTCTAATTTTACCATTTGAAAAATCAACAGAAGAAAATTCTGTAGTATACTGCTTCAAAGGAGAGGATTTAAAGGAAAAAATATACAACGTTATACATCCTTTCACTACAAATAAAGCAAAAGCAAAATTTAGCAAAGTTAAACACAAAAGCAAAATTTCCTTTCAAGCTACAATTTAAATCCAAATTCATATTATTAATAAAGGCTCATAACAACAAATTTTAAAGAATCTAAGCAAGGAGAAAATTACAAATTACACAGTGCATTTTCAATGCCAATGGTCAGAGGCACAGTCAGTGCTTTTATTGCCCAGCATCATCTATTTGCCATTCCTTTTGATGTATACCAAAAATCTATAAAAATTCCAAAATGATGCATAGGGAAGTAAATCAGTTTTCTGTATTTATTTCCAAAATAAAGCCTTAGTTCCAACATTCTAAAGTAAAGTACTATTTTGCTCGCTTATTTGTTAGCTGATTTGTCAATGATATTCTAGAAGTCTGTGTTTCATTAATCCAGTTTCTGTTCTGTAAAGATTACAATAAGATTTCAATGTAAAATGATCCTGTTTAAGTTTTGGCATTTGTTAATTCACTTTTATTAAGGAAAACTCCTCTCATCCTTCCCTTCTGGAATAAACTGCGAAAGCTCAAGATGATTACTCTTCCTCTTCTCGCCTTTGTCTTCTCAAGCAGTAACAGCTTTATAACTCTGAAGCATTATTTTTTCTGTTGGAATTCTTGCTTATTTATGTCTGTCACTGTGACTGTGATTTAATTCATATTCTATTTTACACTTGAAAATATCAATAGAATAAGTAAAACATAGTAAAACAAAAAACTACTGAAGTTTTATTGTGATTTTTTCTATAATACATTTAGTATAAGAACAGTTCTTTCCTCGAGTATTCAATGTGACAGTTTTATAACCTGAAAATTTCCATTTCACCAATGACCAAGTGATTATATTGACTGAATGCTGGTACCTCAATGTGATGTGTCAAATTTCAGAGAATGGACTAGCTTCATGAGCATTTTCGTGGTTTACTTTATGTGTAACATGAATATAAACCAATGCCACTTTCATTATATAAATAATTTTGATTTCAATAGATCTGAATTCTTTCTGCTCCCATGATCTGTATGATTAACCAATGTTTAATTACGCTTTGCATGAATCTGTTGCACAGAGTAGATTTAAGCTCTAGCTCCCTTCAGCTATGCCCCTGCCAATGGTGTCCTACTGTAACATGAGTCACATGGATAAAGATAATGTGGTGATATTTAACTGTTGCAGCTAACTTGCCCTTTTTAGAGAAGGAGAATCTTCTTATGAAAGACAAAAATGTATTCTCTTGCACGTATTGAAGCTTCCAGAAGCAAGAAATAGTACCTCTATAATCTGTGTCCACCTTGCTCCTTTGTTTATCTTTTATAAAAGTGTTATGATTTCTATCTACACTGTAACAATACTCATTTCTTCCATATTCTTCTATGATCTGTGCTATCGCGCAACACATATTAATTCCATATATTCTTGAACAATGGCTGCATTCTACAATTAACTTCACTCAGTATATTTAACTTTTTTGGGTAAATTAATGATGTTGTCGAGTCATTAGGATTTTTTTGCTGAACGTGTGAAAAATGTGCAGTGCTCTCACCAAGACTTGAACCCTGGACCATCGAGTATGGATGCGTCAAGTATGCATTTGGAAGGGAGGGAGAAAATACCTTTTCATGAAGAAGATATAAAAGTTAAGTTCTGAATTTTTTTTCTATCAGATAATTAATTTATTATGACTAAAGTATCATTTGACCATTGTTTTACTCTTTTATGAACTAAAAAGCATCTTTCAAATTCATGCATTCAGATTATACATCTCAAGTGTTATTTAATTAATTTAATTTATCACAGTCAAATCTCTATTATGTTGAACTATTATGTTTCACTTGCATGAAACCATAAAATTTTTTTACAAGGATTTTTAATTCATTTTGTTGATAGCAAGATAGATTGATAATACCATCTAAAAACTAAGAATTTAAAAAATAATACTTATACTGGAAGTATTTCTTTTTATTTCTGACCAAAATTCCCTTTGCTTACCATGGGAAGATTATTTTTTATTATTTCTAAATTGATTCTCTTCAAATAAATAATAATAATAATAAAAGCTTTAATATTTTAATATTTTTCTTACATTAAATTTAACTTAAATTACAGTAAACCATTTTATTTTTTTATCATGCAATACATTCAGATGATAAATTCTAGCTAAAATGCTTTCTTTTCTGGTAAATGGCATAGTTATTTTTTTAACATAAGTATGCATTTTTTTAACATAAGTAACATAAGTTGTATCATCATTTGGCTACCTTCTGTAGATGAATTATCAATAATCATGGAACACAACCTCCAACTCAATATGAAAATTAACTAATTTTTAATATGTGCAACTTTCAGATATTTCCAAATGTAATGTCACATATCTGAAATAATTAACTGTTCTGAAAATTGTACATGCCTCTAATAAATAATTTTGGTACTTTTCCGTTTCGCCGGTGCAAATCTCGCCAAGCAGACTTACAGCATACAGTATACGCATAAAATATTCTTAGAACTAAATTTTTTTTCTTTTGAAGGCATAAACATATTAATATGACTTAAAATTTTGTAAAAAGGCAATAAAAAAGACAATAAATTTGTAAAAAGACAAATTTAAGAATTTACTATGCTTTCATGGTTCAACATCCTGATTCGGCGGTTCGTATCACGTGACACAAAGTGATCTCATCTCACGTAAACTACGCTACAAAATATAATTCTCTCGGTAATTATCTGCATTAATTTCAAGTTAAATCTTTATTTGGAGTACAAGTTTAAATGCAAGAATTATTTCAATTCGTACAAATAGGTTACTCAGAAATTATGCAAAACCGCAGTGCTTTACTTCGCTAGTGCATTCTCATTATATTGATGAATTTAACTCTTAGTTTTGCCTTTCCTATATTTTCGCCTTTGGGCGAGCGGTCTGATTGCATTTTAATTGACTTAATTATCACAAATGGTCTTAGGGTATAAAATTTAACTATCTTTTGTAAAATTTCTATGTAATTATATGCCAGTATTGAAAGAACAATCTGATAAGAAATGGCTGCGAATTGTTTTGAAAATGAAGCGTAAAAGGTTACCAGTGAAGATATTCCTTTTGGCATCAGTTGTACCATAATTGGCGACTTTATCGTTTGCGCCGGCAAAACGGAAAAGTACCATAATTTTCATGGATAAAATCAAAAGAATATTTCTGCAGAACAATGCAATCAAATATTTTAAAATTTAGCAACACAATGTAATGTAACTAAAATAAAATGTAACAAATTACAGAACTAATTTTCTAAATTAACAGATCATTTGATTCTCATAATGAATTTCTAATAACTGATTTATGATTTGCAGCCTGCTAGTAGTTAAAGCAGGCCATTTTTTATACCTTTCTTTAAGGCTTATGGCACAGCACACTATTTTTCAAATCTAAATGTAATTTAATTACTTTAAACTGTACATATTTATTTAAATATAGAATGATCTGTACTTACCATCAGCATTAGTTCTGACAATTAATGATCTCAGAGGACTCCACATATCATCTTTATTTGTGTATTTTGATCGGCAGCGTAATGATATATTGTATGAAATAAAAGGAATCAATCCATCGATTGTGTAGTTTGATGTACCATTTCCTGCATTAATAACCTAGTAATAAATTAATCAATTTATCCATAATGAAACAAATTACTTATAAAGCTTAAGTATCATTATTAATTTAAAAGAAATATAAGCACAGGGAGAAACCATTACTTGGCTTTAAAATACAAAAAGGTTAATAATCGACAATAAATGATAATAACCACTAAGATTTCACAAGAAGCAAGTTGAAGCCATTTCTTAAATACAAAAGGCTGAATATTGACTTATTTTAAATTCCTAATCAGCATCATTTTATAAATATAATTTCCCAATTTTTTATGTCAAGGTTTAATTTCTTAATATATAAATGCTGTTAAGGTACATGAACAAAAGTAAATAAAATAATAAAGAATAATTAATTAAAATTAAATAAAAAGTAAAGAGATTAATAAAAATTTAACTTGTTCAGTTGAATATATCACAAATAGTTAACACCAGATCTCATCTTGTTTACAGATTCCAATTTCACTCATGGAACTTTGCCATCTACTGAGAGAAAAAAAAATCTCAAGAGAGATGGAGAAAATTAAATTGTGGAAGTTCAGAAAAACATATTTACTAAGCAAAAGGACCATGCTAAAGTGTCAAGGAACCAATGAATTGTCAGCACAGAAAACAGAAGTAAATGAAAATGGTAATACATAGTATCTCTTTTGTTGTCAAGCAAATGTGAAGATATAGCTGGGAGAAAGTGATAAAAACACATTTAAAAAAGTTGATTCCTTTAATACAAACTAATTCTAATTTTTTTCTACAATAAATATTGAACTATTAATAATCAACTGCTTTTTCCCATTGCTAAATATTCTAGTTTATTTTATACTAGTATATATATAATAATGTAGAATTAAATGCAACAAATGTTGTTGTATTGATTGCATAGATGTAGAAATATTGCATTTCATAGATGTTGATCCATAAAAAACAGCAAACTTGGCAGCCAATGCAGGTTAAATATTCATTTTTATTCCAATTAACATTTGCAGCAAGAAAAAACTTGGTTCTCTAATAATAACTTGGTTCTGCCTATTTCCAAAATATTTACATTTTTATATCAGTGCAATTGGAAGTAAGCAGCATTTTATGGCCAACAGAGCTAGAAGCAAAGTGTGTATTTATCCAATATAGCAGCTTATTAAGAGAAAGATTTTGATTCAGAAAATTTTAAGTTCCAAATTATTATATAAAAAGTATTCTCATCATTATCTAAAAGTCATATGATGGAATAATCTAGAAATGATGCAATTCAGAAAAAGTCATTACTGTTTTTAGAATAGAGAGGGGAAGCACCCAAATTAAAATGAGGAATTAAGGGGGCTTTTGCTAATTTAGGCTATAATTTTGATTCACATAAATTTTGTTTTACATATGTATCAGGTGAGTTTCATGAAAGACCACAAAAAAGGTTTCTTTCTGAGAAACTAACATATTTTATCACACTATATTATTGATTTCACATAAAAATACTTAAAAATTAATCTTTTTTTATTTATAAAATGCAGCATATAGTAAATAAAAAAATTTTTTTTATTATAAAATGGCAGCATATAGTAAATAATTTAATATGTTAATGAAATACAAAAAACCAAAAATTCAAATAAATTTCCTGACACAATTTTTGCCAAATCACGAGCAACAAAGAACTACTAATTATTTTTAAATATGCTTAATATTACTGATTTAACATCTATTTAATACTGATAACAGTAAAACTCCCAATTTTTATATTTCAGTTAGATAAAGAATAGCATGTGCATTTAAATAAAAATTATTTCAGTAATATTACACCAACTAATTAGCAAGTAAAATAAAATTATTAACTTACTAATTTTTTAGATTCATAATTAATCTCTTCAACCCAGATCTGATATTGAAGATCAGAACTGTCCATCACATCATGCATATCTGGAGGTAACCAATAAACTGAAATATGCTGTTTTCCAGTTTCTGATGTTGAAAGGTTTTCTGGGCTATTTGGAATAACTAAAAGGAAAAGACATTTTTATTCTACTGTGTACTGCATTATTAAGTTCTTGTTGTACTAAGTCAGCTACATATTACAGTATATGAAATTTACCAACACAATTAAAGTAATATTTTAATAAGAATGCATAATGCATTAGAATAACTTGTATGTTTATTTCATCAGACCTAGTTGTACATTCATGTTAGTGACTGGATGTTTACATATGAAGCTTAATGAAAATGTTCCCATAGATGGCAATGCTTTCTATTTTGTCAGGATATGACATCCATGAATTGAAAACAAACACTTTAAAGATATTTCCATCAAGAAGTTTAGCTAAAATATTTAGATTCAAATAATTTTTTCAAATAAAAATAAACAGGTAAACAATGTTTCAAGGGAAGAAATACAAAATGATATTATAGCAAGCTAAGAGTTAAAAATAAAATGTTAAACTTTAGGACTGATTCTGAAAGATTTTATTTATACTGTCATCTTTAAATCAGAGTTAATTATTAATTTATAAAGAATAATTTTGACAGTTATGAATTTAGTCATAAAAGTGACCATACTTTGACTTCCAGCTCTAGATTCTAATAACAAAAATAAAAACCAAAAAAATTCAATTATGCAAATGTACTTTGAGCCCAGTAGATAGCATTTAACAGGTTCTGGCATTACAAAATAAGGTGAGCTAAGTGAAAAGTAATACATTATCGATAGTATAGCAATCGAGACTATAAAAGCAGCCACTTCAAGACGCAGGTGGCGTCAAATAAGACAACAACTAAGAAAAAGCTTTGCTTCATTTTGAAATCGTTAATGGATTTTATTTATATGAGCTGTTAAGTGTACAGCTCAATTTTGGCACAATAAGCGGATTCTGAATTCTAATTAAAAAACAAACATGAAGCCATAACACAGCTTATGAGGATTCTTGAAAGCATTCCTCAACTTTATTAGTCCAAAGGGACTTGAATCCCGAAGGACTATTACTTTCGTTTTGGCATTTTGCGTCGGACGGATAAATGTCGGTTCACTTTTCAAACTGTTGCCATAAAATGTTAGAGTCCTGCATTATATTTGAAGAAATTAAATAATGAAAATCCGCATAAATGTATGTATATTTCTCACATTGTCATAAAATAACGGTACATAGAGTCATCGAATTTTGAATAACGTAATCCTCCACGATATGAGCATGTGGAAGACCAAATTTGAAATTTGAAATTTGTTTTATGGTCGATTTCCTATTTTTTAAAACTTTGACAAATTTTTGATTAACAAACTCAAGGATTTCAAAGCGAGCAATGGCAACGTTGTGCAGAAAAACATTTTATCTCCAGCGCGTGAGTCTCTGTATCGGAAATTCTAAAGATATGCTCGTTTTAAAACTATTTTGCGATATTGCTGTTGCACTGGATCTTATGGTTTAAGTGCGAGGAACATGATATTTAATAAAGAAAGGTAACACACAAAATGTTAAAAAACGCCCCTTTGGACGTAATTTAAAATCTGAAACATGCTAAAAATTCTCTTCAGTACGGAATAACTCGTCTTTAGACTACAACATCGGCGATCAAACCAGTTCAAAAGAATTCTATCTGCTTTACGATTCTCAAACTTTTAGCGTTATCTCGCAAAGTCTTCAAGAGGTACTTAGGGAAACTATCGTTAATACACATTAAAATGCCCAGTATATATGTATATACATATTTCGAATATGGAATAATAATAAAGTCCAGTAATTCGGCATTCCTTTCAACCAAGGTTTAAACCTTGCTTTTCACTGACATTCCTGGCGTAAGATGGCGGCACTAGCATTCGAAGAGCCTCGTCAGTTGCTTCACGTTTTTCGGACTTTTCTAATTTGTCTTTACTCAAAGTTCGATGTATATATATATACATTATTTGGGTGCTTCTTTATCATATTGGCCCCCAACCATATTTAGAGATTTTAGATTTGCGTAAACATCTTAGATGCAATTTTGCCAAGCTCGTGAAGGGCAAGTGGAAAAACAAACAACACAATAAATAATAACAACAATGATACTCACATGTCATTTCCTAAGGATATTTTTAAGAATTCTTACCCTTATAATTATTATTTTATAGCATGTAATTGTTCCAGTCCCAACTGCAGCACTTTCACACACATGTTTGTTACACCATTTCACAGACGTCAACGCCTCTGCCCAAGAATACATTGCAATTTTTAACATAGCACCTCCAAATAAAATATAAAGTTTCATGCTGCGGCCATTTTTGCATTCTTTTGTCAGGTAAAAAGACTTCTTTCTTGAAAAAACGATATGGCATCCACTTTATTACATGGCGAAGATTATTAACATCATATTAACAACAACAATTTTTAAAAAAATGAATTTTACATTACGCCCATGGAGGCTTTATTTATTTATTTTTACGTTCTGTGTGATACCTTTATTTATTAAATATTATGTTTTTCGCACTTATACCATACAATTCAATTCAACAGCATCGCAAAATAATTTTAAGATGAGCGTATCTTTAGAATTTCTTATACACAGTCTCGGGCTCTGAAGATAATTCCTTTTTTTTTTTTTTTTTTTTTTCCTCGTACAGTGTTGCCATTGCTCGCTTTGAAATCGTTGACTTTGTTAATCAAAAATTCGTTAGAGTGTTACAAAATACGAAATCGATAATAAAACAAATTCCATATTCCAAATTAAGGCTTCCAGATGCCCATATTCGCAGGAGGATTACGTTACTCAAAATTTGATAGCTCTAGGTATCGTTGTTTTATCACAATGCGAGAAACATACATACATTTACGCAGATTCTTCATTATTTAATTCCTTTAAATATAACACAGGGTGATAATGTTTCTTGAAAAGTAAAACGATTTGAAAAGTGAAACGTACATTTAAAGTTTTCAACGCAAAATGCCAAAACGAAATTAATTGCCCTTCTGGGCTAATGCCATTTAGGATTTAAAAAAATCTGAAAGCTTTCAGATTTTACATTACATCCCAAAGGGGCATTTTTTTTAACGTTTTATGTATTTATTTTATTCATTAAATATCATGTTCTTCGCGTTTAAACCATAAAATTCAAATTCAACAGCAATATTGCAAAATAATTTTAAAATGAGAACATTTTTAGAATTTCCGATACACAGTCACGCGCGGCGAAGATTTTTTTTTCTTTTCTTTTTTTCTTTTTTTTTAATCGTAGTTTTGCCATTGCTCGTTTTGATATCGTTGAGTTTGTTAATCAAAAATTTTTTAAAGTGTTACAAAATATGAAATCGATAATAAAACAAATTCCAAATTAGGGCTTCCAGATGCCCATTTTCGGTGGAAGATTACGTTATTCAAAATTTGATGGCTCTACGTACCGTTGTTTTATCACAGTGTGATAAAATACATACGTTTATGCAGATTCTTTATTATTTAATTTCTTTAAATATAGCAGAGGACGATAATATTTGGTGGCAACAGTTTAAAAACTGATTCGCCGTTTATAGTGCATCGACGCTAAATGCCAAAACGAAATTAATAGCCCTTCTGGGCTGACGCCCTTTGGACTAAAAAAGAACGAATAAAATTTTAAATAAAAAATGCGCATTCGAAAACCTCATCACGATGAATAAATAATATAAGAAAACGAGGCCAGATCAAAAATACAACACGGTGCTAATATACAATTACGTGGCGAAGTATAAGAACATGCACTCGATGCTAATATATGATCATGTGGTGATGTATAAAATAACTACCATAATTTGCTTTCTTTATCTTTATTTATTTAGAATATTTTCAAAACTTAGTAAAAATGGTCAAATGGAAATAAATGGAAACATTTACGATTCATCAAAAGCTTGATAATATTAATTCAATAACGGAGTTAGTCCAAGTTTTTAATGCAAATATAAAAATTCGTTTATGCAAACTTGATTAAACTCATGCAGTGTTCCAAGATGAATTCAGTGCAAAAGACTTAACTTTCACAGCTGCTGAGAAATTACATATAAACAATATAATTTCCTTCCCTTATTTCTTTAACTGGAACTTCCATGAATTTATTTCATCTACTGTTATCACATTAGGTCAAGTTTCTCTGTCATTTTAATTTCTACAGTTCAAGAAGTTTAAATTAAACCTCAGAAACTACAGAATTATAAATTTTGGCACTTTTTCACTGATTCTTGACGCTAATCACCATCTTTAATATTTGTTTTTCGCAGAAGTTAAATTGCGCCAAAGCCCACCGAATCCCGACTTCGGTACTTAGTTTTTGAGATAAATTTTAATTTTAGCTAGATCGCAATCGTTACCTCACAAATAATACAGCCCAATATTTTGGCGCCTTTATGAGGTGACGTTACTAATGGCATAGGTTATAATATTCACAGAAATCTCAGATATTGCTACAAACTATCTAATTAATTACTACAAACCTATTTCAAAATGATCAATAGAAAATTCTTGGGATGAAGATCCGAGACTATTGTTTCCTTGCACAAAGAATGTAAGATTTCGAGTACTAATCTGATATGGTGGATCAGTATCACCTCTCCATTGGCAAAAAGTATTGTTAGACGTTTCACTTGGACACAGTTGTAATACACTGGAAAAAAATACACACATATGAATGGCATTAAAATTAGTGTACTATAGCAATTTATCAAAAAAAATTGATTATCAATTAATATAAAATATGTTAATCATTCAAATCAATTCACAGAATAAGAATGAACTAAATGAAAAAAATGAACGGTTAAGATTTACAACGAAAATATGGATCATTAGATTTGCTCTGAAAATAAGTCTTCAAAGGTATACTTCATGGGTTTATTTCTCTGCATCAAATATTTTGCGTCTAAAGATACCTCTTCAATTCATACTTATAAGATTTCTGGTTTTATGGTAATTCTTTCAGACATTAATAATCATATTGTTATTTTGGGGCAGATGCACGTTTTTCATAATACAATTCGCTTAAGTGTATATGTTTAGTTATTATGCTATTTATTTTGTCATCATTTGCATACAGTCATCCAAGAGCAAGACAAATATCTTCCAAATAAATGGTCACGGTTCACTTATATGCGATGATTTATTGATAAAAACAAGACAGCAGAATTCAGTTTCTGATTAGAATCATGATTGAAAATTCATGATCTATGACCAAGCAAGGGAAAATTGCTAAAGTTTGCGAAATGATAAAGCTTCACATTGCAGCGCCAAAAAATATAGTTGGAAAAATCCCAAATTTGGAGTCTGTATTTGTTATCATACGAGGTGAAAATGATTAAAATTTCAGGTGCCTAGGCAAATAGGATGCATGAGGTATCACAGTTAAATCTGATTCAACAGATGTAGAAGATGGTCATAAAAAACAAACCAATTGTCCTTGCACTGACACTGACCTTATGCAGGTCTTCCTGTAGACTGTAGAGCGAGAACAACATGATGAACAACTGACAGACTCCTAAAAAGACAGAATTCTAGGATCAAGAGAAGAGGATAATTTGTGCCTTGGCATTGTAGCATGTTTTAGATCGGTGCTAGTACAATTAGAAGTAAGTGCTTGCGGTCGATAGATGGAAGAAGATTCGACACGTCGAATGCGAGAGGATTGGAACACCTACCATTATGACAGAACGAAAAGACAGATATATGTCGTGTATGGAAATACTGGATCTGGCCACTACTTCTTCAGCATTCATACAACAATGGAGAATAGTGAAACTCTGTTGGCACTGTTCGTCGATAATTGCTGCAGTAAGGGCTTGTAACTTGGCATTCTCTCTTGTGACTTCCTTTGACCTTTCATCCAAGTCAGACAATACGATCCAGTTCAATTGACGATGAATGGGGATATATGGTCTTTACCAAAGGTTAACAGGTATATTGTCCCACATTCATCATTAACTAGATTAATTTTAAATAATAATAATTAAATTAGTTACATTTTTTATATCATAATACATAATTTAAATGCATCAGTCAAAGGCTGCGTTGATGTAGAGAATGAGACCGTGAATAGCAGTAAATCATCTTCTGTGACATATATAAACACAGTTCAGAGACTCATGGCTGACTTTCGTACGCTGACATAACGCCTTTAGGACGGTAATATTATAGAGCTCCATATTGCTCTTACTACCAGCGTCATGTTATGAGATGCTATCCGATTTCATTTACGTTGTCGTCTTTTACAAACCGCAGGTCCTTTAAATTTTAACTACTATATTCATGGAATCAAACGTTTTACCTTTGATATAGAATACCTTTACAATACAATTATCTAGGGGCTACGTTACAACACGGCGGTGCTACTGCCCATGTTAACATATCGCAATTTTTTTTAACCAATGGCGGGCTCTCAGCCTACTTTGGCTTGGCCGCTACTAAGGCCAGAAGTGAAGGTCACTTTATTATGGGGGCAACCTAAGAAGTGGTCTACCTTTGCCTATGAAGGGACGGACTTTTACAACCATGTCTTCTCGAGGATTCGAACCCGGGCCCTTTGGTGGCGCAATCGGCTTCCCTAATCACTATACCGTCTGAATAGAATACCTTCACGATATAATTATCTTGGGGTTACGTTACAACACGGCAATGCTACTGCCCATGTTCACATATCACACAATGTTTCTAGTGTGTTTATTTGGCCTCCGCGGTCACCCGATTTGTCTCTCATAAAACACATGGACCGCTAGAAGATTAGTCCTATGTCATTCTGCGCAATTACAACCTACAAGTTATAGATACGTACTCAATCTGCATATAAAGACATTCCACAGACAGATATCCAAAATCTGTATGTGTCACTACCACGCAGCGTACGATCACTTAACGCACTAACGGGGAATAATTTGTTTATTTGTTTGGGTGATTATGGCAAAGCCTCGAGGGCTATCTGCCTTAGAGGAGGGATGCCTTCGTGGAGGACTTTCTAAGGGGAACTGGCTCGTATACACGTTACACATGGGGAAAACCACGAAAACGCCCATGCAGCCAGCCCGTTCACGGGATTCGAACCTCGGACCGAACTACAGTGTTCAGCGACTTTACCGCTCGGCCGCTGGTGTGCCAAACGGGAATAAAAATAAAACCCTAAATTTATTTCTTCTGAATAAGTTTTCAAATATTAATCTTCCATATTTCAAATCAAACGCAAGTTCCGTAATAACTATCTTAAGTTACAATAAATATCTTCATTGTAACTCAATTTTTTTTTTAATGTGGGCAGCTTCTCTGAACAGCAACGTATGCAGATTAGAATTCACTGAGTTAATTCTCACGTATGAACTTAGCTGACTACGCCATTAAAGACAGAACAGGAATACTAACACCATTAACAGGAAGCTTGAAACTTTTGTCATTTATTTATTGCCTTCAAACAAAATCATTTTTTTTTCCCAGACGTGATATACACACACTGACCAATGAATTAGAAACCTTTGAGATTTTCATTTGAATGCGTGCTAAGGATGAAGTATGCAATTTTGTTTTATGATGTGAGTTACACACGTGGTTAAAATGCCAGTATAAGTCAGGTGTAAGAATGCTTTTCACGATGAATGAGTAAAATGGGAAAAACTACAGATCTTTCACCATTTGAAAAGCGCATATTGTTGGTGCTCGTTTATCAAAGGCCTCAATTTTGAAGACAGCAAATCCCACTGGGTTCTCAAAAACAGCTCCTCTACTGAAGGTTTTCAAAAGTCGGAATGAGAACCCACAGTCCTTCTTTAGAAGATTCAGCTGCAGTTCGAACACAGTTTTCCAAGAGAGTGATCGGTGTCGTCTCCGACGAATTGAACGGCAGAACAGAGATTCTACTGTACTTCAACTGATACAGATCGTCAACCATGGCTTTTCCTAACAGATTTCAGCTCGAAGCCTAAGCAAAGATTTGCATAGGATAGGAATGCATAGTCGGGCGCATGTGAGAAAAACCACTCATTTCTGCCCGACATGCAAGAATTCATTTGCAGTGGGGTTGGGAAAGAAGACACTGGACATCTGAGGACTGGAAGCGGGTAATGTGGTCACGGGAATCACGCTACACCTTATTCTGCACTGATGTACGACGTCGTATTTGGCGAGAACTCCATGAACCCATGAATCCATCTTGCCTTACTCGAACTGTGCAAGGGTCTGGTGGGAGTATCATGGTATGGGGCATGCTGTGCTTGCATGCAGGTGGTGCCTTAGTGTTCCTCGAGAGTAAACAAACAACCCTGAGATACCTAGATATACTGGCAGATCAAGTGCAGACTACAATGTTGTATTTTTACCCTGATGGCGACAGGAACTTCATGGACGACAATGCATCGTGCCAGAAATGTTCAAAATTGGTTCGCTGAACATCAGTATGACTTCTAACACTTTTCCTGGGCACTGCATAGTCATGATCTTAACACCATCGAATATCGAAATCGAAATTCGGTAGGATATGGTGGAAAGACGCATCCGACAGCACTCTTGTCTTCCATCTAATTTACAAAATATAAAAAGCTGCATAGCTAATGCATGGTATTCTCTGGACGTAAATGCAGTCCACAAGCATGTAGATTAGATTGTCAAAACGAATCAGAGCAGTTATCCGTGTAAAGCCCAATAAAATACTGACCTTGTGTTTCTAATTCATTGGCCAGTGTGTGTAATATGAGAAAGCCTGTCGACTTGAAGCTTGATTGTAATTCATGAAAATCAGATTATGTTTATATTATTAATTGTGAAAGAGAGGAAGAATTATGGAAGTTTGAATTCTGCGATCCTAACTAATAATTCGTTAAGCGATCAAAGTTTCAGATAAATAAGTTGATAATGTCACTAAATTCGAGAAATCTATCAATTCAATTAACCTCCAATGGCAGCAATTATATGCAAACTGCAAGTTCGAATATCCACAATATTTTGAATAAAAGAATATAATAAAATAATTACACATTTACGAAACAAATATTTATACATTACAGCACTTCTTACAAGTTAAATTAAGAAAATTATCATGATTATTTATTATTACTGCAAAGAACATAAATTCTAACTACCATATACTGAAAACTTGTTCGGAATTTATTCTAGTGAAAGCTGGCTTGCAATGTGATTACAGATGGGGAAATGACGAAAACCCAGTGCAGGCTGCCGGTTCAACTGCCAAGAATCAGATTCGGATAACGTCGAGTGTTCATTGCTTTTATGTATTTACCAGCTAACTAGAACACTTAATCTTTCATATGAATGCAGGTGTAAGTTTAGAATAAAACAGAAATTAGGATATAATGCTATTTACCACTAAATTTACATCTGAAAAACACTGTATATTTTATTAAAACTTACGATTTAGATATCCATGTTTTGCGCAGTGAATAGTTAGTTGGAACCCCACTAGGTTCAATATCCCAGGAGCATGTCAGATTATCAAAATTACGGCTAATGCACTTGAAGTTAGAAACATTGTGAGGAGGATCTGAAAGAGATATATAAAAATTTGAAATTAATCAACACACACACACACAAAATAATAATAATAATAATAATAATATAATAAAATAAAAGTGTTTTTATAACACAACTTCACTTCACATTTGATTTGGAAATATGATCTTACACGAAAGTTCACGTTATGAATTTACTATATGTAGTCTATGTAATTCTATGAACGTGCAAGCATAGATTTACAGTAACTAACATACATATTCCTAAAAATTATAGAGATACCTATTTTAATTCATTTAAATCAATTACAGCAATTGTGTTTTAAAGTTGAGTTCCATTTTTATATGATCCCCGAAATGAATAAATAAAATAAAGAGAAAAAAAGAATCTGTGGAAAAAAAGATTACAAGAAGACCTATGAGGAAACAGAAATTGGTTTTAGAAGTGGTAACTTAAATACAAATAACAAATTCCTTTAAAAAATTGCATAAATTTTATTAATTTTTTTAAAGATTTTTAATCACTTAAGATTATTTAGATTCCGACAAAGCATACGAGCAAAGTGGGGAACTTGTTGAGGAAAACTGATTCGTATTCAAGTTCCATATGAAGGACAGCCGCGGAAATCTTTAAGCAACTAGCCCGTTTGCCTGGTGAATACTAGGGATTCGACTTCGGTTCTGTCCCAGTTGAACGGGCTGGCTGCATGGTTAGTTTCGCAGTTTTCCAGGTGTAACGTGAATACAAACCAGATTTCCTTAGAAAGGTCTCCACGCTCTCTACTTAGGCAGATAACCCTCGTTTGCTTTTTCATTTCAAATAGCCAAACAAAACCTGTTTGTTTCCCTGAGTTTATACAAACAATTGGTATTCACTGGTTTTACTGCTTGGCCACTGGTAGGCTTCCAAAAACGCAGCTGGGAGAGAAAGTGAAAAAAAAAAAGTCTTTCAAACAGTCTAGTTGCATGGGTCTTAAGTATTCGCGAAAAGTCATATTTTTTGTAATAAAGAAGTATTTAAGCATCAGAAGCTTCTTTACTTTTTTTGACATCTGGGCATGAACAGCAACACATCATACTAACTGCAAAGATGATTTAAAAAAAATCATAAGAAAGTACCTGTTGCTATTTTCTTTTCGATAAAAAACGCTACCATTGATGCAATTGCATATCTTTTCGAGTGAGAGAAAATTCCATTTATACAATGTGGTCTGAAGAGATTGGCTATCTTTGAATAGTTGATCATAGGTCCAGTTTACAAAATGAATCAATTAAGGTTCTCTTTCTAATTTCTATACTATTATAGTAATCGCAAGTTATAGTATTTCAGACTACTATAGTCGAACATTGGCTCATTGGTATAGTTTAAAGAATGGAATCAATTAAAATGCGCTTTCAAACTACTATAGTTTTTATCACATAACACCTTTTATTAAAAATGCACCGACTTTAATTTTTGCAGCGCTCTTCTACAAAGAAATCTGTAATTATTAGGTTTTTAAATATTCAACTGAATATTTTTAAAAAGAAAGTCAAATCTGTTAAATGCAAACCATACCAATTTAACCCAGTCTTTTAAAGAACAAAACGTTGAATTTAGGAGTCGTAGAGGAATCGAATTTCATTAGATAATTCAAATTTGAAAGCAATTCTACACAAGCTTCTTTGCTTGTTTCTTAAATAAAAGCTACGTCATAAAAATTTGCATTATTCATCGGTTTAACCGGCGAGCAGCGATTAATCGCCAAATTTGGTGGCTCTTATTGTCAAACAATACAGCAAACTCAAAACTATAATCGAAACCTAGTACAGTGGAACCTCGAGATAGGAGTTTAATTCGTTCCAGCATTGACCTCGTATAGCGAATTTCTAGTATCTAGAAACAATAAACTTCGCCATTGAAAATAATGAAAATCCACTTAATCAGTTCTGCACCCCCGAAAACATAACATAAAAATAAATTTTTTTAATAAATAACACTGGTAAATAATATAACTGTAGTTTACCTTTATGAAGAGTTCTGACTGGCGGACTGACCCTGACTGTAGGGTTGGAGAGACCCACCCCTCTATTTCAGGATTGAATTTTACCCACTAGAAGCAGGTTCTGGGTCAGAAACCCTTAATTTTCTTTTACTTGCAAGTTGCTTTACCAATAGCTTATAGCACTTGCTTCTGTTTCCTTTTCAAGATGCCTCTAAAATGCGACACTACATTGTCATTACACACGTTTATGGTGCGCCCACACACTGCTTTATTAGGGTGATTTTCTTCAAAGAAGTGGGAAAGTTGGCAAAGTGGAAAAGAAGTTTTCACTTCTTCCCACTTTGCCAAAACTCCTTTAATATTACTGAAAGAGAGGACCTCAACTCCTGTTCCATCCGCCCCTAACGAAAGTTCTTCTACCACCTGTTACTGCTGCTCCTTGTGAAGTTCTTAAGTTCATCCATTGTGAGTTTATAAGGATCCTAAGTTTTACTGACGTTTATTTTATTTAAAAACTTTACTGTCCTCTCTTATTTTCCATTTCCGGCCAGAATAAACGCGTTAGTTTTATTTATGCAAATTGTGCTTGCAAACTCTTAAGTATTTAAATTGTGGCTTTTCGCCAAGAAGAGTTAAAGAGAGAAATAGCGTGAGACTTATCGCCACTTTACTTCACGCGCGCTTTCACTCAGTTGCTGTCCGCCTTTAAGGCCAGAAATTTAGTCTTATTGTTAATGAAGACGTATTGTAGTTTACCCGCATTCTGCGTACTACATACGTAAAAATCTAAAAGGGCACAATCTTAGTGCTACGAGTCTCTGTGTAAAATATTTGAGCTTAGCTCTCACTTAAATTTAGTTAGCTTGTAGTTCTTATTTTCTTACGTTCAGACCACAAGTGCTGGCCTCTGTATCCCGAAGTGCAGAAGCATCTATAAATTGTGGAGAATAAAGGGTAATTAAACCCTTCCTTTTATTTATCATCTCTTCTACAATTGAAAAAGGACATATTTTCCAGTAAACTCGCTGTTCTACTCAGGACACTTACATGTTCACAAAACAGATAAGAAGAAATAGTAGTCCTGATAAGTTCTTCACTATGCTCCTCCACTAACTCATCCAAATCAGCACTATCCACATCCAGACCCATACGTTTCCACCAGGGAAACAATTTCTTCGACTAGCTGCACTGTGTTGTCCACAGGTTGAAAATAGAAACTTAATTCAGGAATACTCTGAGGCCACAGTTTTTTCCATGTTGAATTAGGGTCCTCATTGAGACTCCTTCCCAAGCCTTATCAATGAAGTTTAAACAGTTTAGGACGTTGAAGTGATCTTTCCAAAATTCTTTGAGGTTCAGACTTGTATTTGCAGTCACTTCAAAGTACCTTTGAAATAAGGTCTTTGTGTACAACTTCTTAAAGTTGGAAATAGCTCGCTGGTCCATAAGCTGGAGAAGTGGAGTGGTGTTGGAAGGTAGAAACTTGACTTTTATGAACTGAAATTCCTCCAGCAAATGATCTTCAAACCCTGGAGGATGCGCAGGAGCATTATCAAGGACGAGCAAAGCCTTGAGTGGCAACATATTTTCATGAAGGTATTTCTTCAACGAGGGACCAAAAACTTTATTGATCCACTCGATGAAAAACTGCCGTGTTACTCAGGCTTTGTTGTTTCCCCGACACATCACATTTAGTTGGTTTTCTGCATCTTGCTCCTCTTGAAAAATCGTAGAATTTCTGAGTGGTAGACGAAGAACGGCTTAGCCTTAGCGCAAATGATAGCTTCCGACACCAAATAGCCTTTTAACTTCTTCTCGTTAATCCACATCAACAATAGCTTCTTAACTACTTCTAGGAGTTTTGGACGGTGCTTGGAAGTAAAGGTAACTCCTTTGGCCACATTAAGTTTCTTAATTTCTTCCTTCTGCTTCAGAATAGTGCAGATCGTCGATGTGGAACGGCCGTAAGTCTTCGCCAATTCCGTCACTTTTACACCACATTTATGTTTCTTTAATTTCAACAGCCATGGCTTCCTTCTTTTTCTTTGCAGCACTATCTAAAGCAATCTTCTTGGGAGGCATCGCGAAATAATTGTTTTCACGTTAAATGTAATTAAAAAAAACCACTTAACTCACAAGCGCACAAACACGTAGATTAAACAACACTGAGTGATCTGTCGAGGGTATTCCCCGAGTTGAGCCGGATCAGGAAATGGAGCCACGCATACCAATAGCCTGGTTCATTGCTCGTTACTTGAGTCAATGGTTTCGCTCACACTTTCCTCTTATCTCGAACTTCTCGTATATAGGGGTGCTCGTATCTCGGGGTTATTCTGTAATAAGAATTGTGAAATACATTTACATTCGTAAGAAATTTTGTTTGGGGGGGGATTCGGAATGATGATAATTTTCTATTTATTTTCATCAAGTGAAAGTGAAGCTACTGCATTGTACCAAAACAAAAGGGAGGAGGAATTTTACCCCTGCCGGAATTTGCAAAAGAAGGCATGAAATGAAGTTATTTACCACTGCGGATGCCATAAACAGATCCAATGAAAAAAAAAAAAAAAAAAAAAAAAAGCCAATGTCTTCGCTTCGATAATTAGCTCGTTGCTCCAAAAATCACATTCCTATCTGCCCCCCGCTAGTTCGGCCCCTAAGCTTGGTAAAATTTTTCCCCTTGGTCACTGATAAAACCGATAAGTACCGTAGATTGTTAAGACTCATGTAAAAGCTTGTTTCATATACTTTTTCTGCAAAATTTTATGTGACGTAATCTTAAAATTGCCTTATTCAATTAATTTCTTAAAGTGGAACCATGTGTCTACGACCCAGTTGCTCAAGAGCTATTTACTCGCACAATCCTACACATATAAATCCATTTTTAAACAAACAACATGGACACGCTAGGATCTGCAGCGATTTTAAGCACTTTTTTATATTTATTTAGAACTGAAATTTGTCTAAAACTGTCGTAGACATAAATAAAAAGACAAATTCAGTATCAGACTTATTTTTAATTCTAAATCCTCGAAAAGACAAATGTA